ATAATATACAACATTTATATAGCGCCCTATATAATTTGTAAAATTACTCTAAAGCGCTTTACAACATATGGATAATAGTAATGGTTATCATTGTGAAAACAAAACACAAAGGCTTACAATCACTTTTATATATTTAAGCAAGCAATGTGCACATAATTGAACAAATAAAAGGGTGGTATTTACATGACGGCTTTGCAAGGATTCTAAAACGCAGACGTGAAAAAGTGAGTTTTGATGTTCCTCTTGAACGTGGCCATGGTATTTGACTTTCTAATAGCAGATGGTAAGCTATTCCACAACGTAGCCGAAACCCTCCCAAAGCTTCTGTTTCCGAAGGTCACAGTACGAGATTTTGGGACTCGCAACAAAGATTCTAACTCCGACCGCAGTGATCGTGACGGTTGATACAGGGTAACAAGCTCCTGTAGGTACTGAGGAAATGTTCCATTCAGTGCCTTGTATGTGTACACCAGAAATTTGTACTGCGACCTGTATCGTACAGGTAACCAGTGCAACGTGTGATGTGCTCTCTTTTTCGAGTACGAGTAACTAGCCGTGCTGCAGTGTTCTGGACCCTCTGCAGACGGCTAGTTAGTTTGTCAGATATACCACAGAGCAGGGCGTTACAATAATCTAACCGAGAGGTAACAAGTGAATGAACCAAAATCTTGCATGCATCTGCAGTTATAAACTGCCGAATACAGCCGATGTTCCTGATCTGGTAGTAACAGGATTTGGCAATAGCGTTCACTTGTTTCTCCATGTTCAGTGAACTATCTAAGTATACCCCCTATGTTTTTAACAGCTGGAACAGTCTCAATAGTTCTGGCACCGACCTTGAGCTGGAGAGCTATTGTTTGCTGACACTTTGGGGAAAAGACAATTAGTTCCGTCTTTTCCTGATTAAGCTTAAGCATGTTGGTGTTCATCCAGATACTGATATATGTCAGACAAGCTTCCAGACTTTCTGAGGCTGTATTCCAACTGCCCTGTGGTTTGATGACCATGTAAATCTGTGTGCCATCGGCATATCAATCGATGTCGAATAGGTACTGTGCTGTGTTAGTAAATATGTCAAACAACAGCCTCACTTTGAAAGGACAATGTCACACACAACAGTGTGAACTTCTGAACAAAACTTTCCATAAGGTTCATTAACCGTTTACATAGAACTGAACATTTCATTCTTGCTTAGAACCAATAAAAATGATGCGATTTCGGCTCGATTTTTCGATTTGGTCACCATTTCGTACATTAAAGTATAGCTGGCTCGATTTGTCTATTTGACTGTGATCATGCACTTATTTAACACATGATATGCTTTACTGGTTATCGTATTAGTCATCGAAACGTCACACAATCAATTTTACTGGTTGAGCTATATTGACCCGTATACAAACTATACTTACCAACCTGAAGAAAATGTTTCGAAATGTCTATGTTAATGTGGGGTTTTTTTCTTTTCAGAAATTTCAACAAATGTAAGGACGATCGGAAGCATCTGAATTGTCGCTCTTAAGAATAAAAGAAGACATAACTACTAAATGCATTGATTTATACTTAGTGTTGTAGGGTTCTTTGGTGTGACGTAACACTAGCAGTTGAGACTATCCACTGCGTCACCCAACTACCCTGAGGTTGTGTTAAGTTTAAACCTTATTTTATTCATGTCAATTAACATGTACAATTACAAAGACATTTCATTATGATGATTGGGAAACAAGTACTATTGTACTTATACATAGTCCTTCTCATCGTTCACAACAATCTTAGCTGATAATACATGTACAGTATATAACTTTGCAGTGATAGCCTAAATATGTACATAAGAAACTGTTTAGAAGGAAAGAAAGAACATGATACATATATTAGGGATAAAGAAAATAGTTAATTTTAAATGATATCTCAATGTAGTTAAATTCTAATTGCTTGTAAATCTTCTTGTTGATTTGATAAAATTTTGAGTAGCAGTACCTTTTTATACACAAAATAATACATAAGGGATTGTCAACAAGATTTCTGTCAAAAAGATGACGTTTTAAAGAACTGCATCCGAGACGTAGTCTAGTATGATATATTTGACATTGTCTCGATCCTACATAATAATATTCAGGGGGACGTTTCTTAGAGTTTTGGTCGAGATAGGAAAACGAATCTCATACGGAATATTATTCTCAGAAGAGAATCTGATACCTGCAAAATCGTTACCATGCCTAGTGCTGTAGTTATGCATTTTAGGCATGCTAGGAGGTACAAGCTTGGAAAGATAATCAGGAGTGAGACGATGAAGCATTTCAAAAATGTGTGTCAATTTATGTTTTTATTTTATTTATTTCACATAAATGTTCCCTTCTGGTTTCTATATACAACTTATATAGGTTTGTAAGTTTTTTAGCACCACATAATATTCTCGCTGCCTCCTGGTTAATTTTCTCAAGCTTATTTACATATCCAATAGTTATATTGTCCCAGACGACGTCAGCACATTCCAAAATAGATCTTATAAATGTAAAGTCTTATATTTGTAAACTTTTTCTATCAAGGGTAAAACATGTTTTCCGAGAAAGGTTTATTTTCATCGTCACCTTGTTGATAATGTCATCAACATGCATAGACCAACTACAATCTTCAAACAGTGTAACACCTAAATGTTTGTGGCAGCTCACATTTTCTATTGGGGCATTGTTAAGATATAGTAAAGGATGATTGGGAGAGTCATTAATTAGTCGTTCAGCTGCCAAGAAGGGCGTATCAACTATAATATAAATCGAGGTGTCGTTAGCGAAAAGCTTAATTACAGAGCCAATATCAATAACAATATCATTTATATAAATTAAAAACATAAGAGGCCCTAATATCGAACCTTGAGGAACACCAGCCTTGATATCTGCCAATTATGATTCCACTCCATTAATTATAACGTTTAGTTTTCTGTTTGTTAAATAGTTTTTGAACCATTGAATCTCTTTACCGCCTAATCCAATATTAATAAGTTTGTATATAAGGCTTTTGTGCCACACATGGTCAAATGCCTTGCTTATATCACAAAACAAAGTTCTTACTTCTTTTCCCGAGTCAACTGCCCTTCTCAAATAATTTGTAATATCCAATAATTGATTTACTGTGGAATCGCCGGGGCGAAATCCAGACTGGCATTTTGTAACTTAATTATACTCATGAAAAAAAAATTGTGAACATACACCCCTCCAATAATACTTAAAAGAGAAATAGGGCGATAAGTGTTCACGTCATTCTTTTCGTTCTTTTTATGTACATGAATAACATAAGCTATTTTCCAAGAGTCTGGAAATATGCCAGTTTGTATAGGTTGTGTGTACACACAGAAAACAGAAAACAAAATAGGTATAATTAACAGGGTGGAATCATACTTGGCAGATAGCAAGGCTGGTCTTCCTCAAGGTTTGATATTAGGGCCTCTTATGTTTTAAATTTATATAAATGATATTGTGTTGTACAAATATATATGTTGTTTAACAGACTAAGTATGAAATCAGCCTCACCAGACTAAATTTTCAACAAAGACAAACCGATAACAAAACTGAGAATAAGTAATCATACCCGAAAGATCCAAACGGGCAGAGCTAAAGAATACTCGACAACCCCGTCTTGTAAGAACTGTAACAACACACTAGAATACGAAGTACATTTCGTTTTTGTTGTATGTACTACTCCGACACTAGGAAATTATTTTTGAAATAAATATGACAATTACATCATTAACTGACATGCACAATTTACAAAGGATATCATCTAATGAGCCAATATCTTTGCAATGTTTGGGTCTCTTCATTAAAAAGTCTTTTGAACTGAGGACAATGGATTTACAAAGCATGTGCTTAGTATCAAAATTATGCTTATATATAGGTACAATATGTTTGTATTCGGCTTATTTGCAGTTATATCCATATCATGTAATCTTGTTTGGATGCGAATTGCAGTAAAAGTTTAACTGAAATAAATATAAATTTAAATATGTTCGTATTGTGAAGTAGCTAAAATATGTCATTATATTTATTTTTCATATATTATGTATTTTTTCAAAGTTGGAGGAAATAAGGAGAATAACAACCTGCAGTAGTTGGGCTTTAATTGATTCACCGAACAATACGATGTATAGCTTACCTGTATTGACTATATACCTGTACGCTTACCTGTGACCACTTATACATGTACGTTTACCTGTATCTGTATGTATACACGCGTCTGTAACAGGGGACGTAAATCCTATATACAAAACCTGATAGGAGTTTAGGGCTCAACGGCGCTGTTGCTATGCTGTTTGTTGTCAAAACGCTCCGACTCAATAACCTATAAATATACCTATATATTCTCTACTGAAGAGTGCTAGCCGTGTACTCGGATTTTTTTTCTTCGTAATTCTTCAGCGAGGAGGACCATGACAGAGGAAGGTGGGTCTGAATAACACCATTGTACTATTAACTCTTACAAACAATAATCCATTTTTACCTTTAATGTAAAATTCATGAGTAAACAATGACTTGATTGTACCGTGGCCGCTATCTGCCCGGAACATCTAACCCGTAATGGCCCGGGATCTCGTGAAATCGATATATGCTTACACTGTAGTGCTAACACTCCCAACAGAGTGTCTTGGAATGTGAACACTCCAAGATTTTCCCAGCTACAAATTTGATTTGAGAAGGGTTTGTTTAATCTGTTTCTTATATTAAATCTCCCCGATCAGGGTGACATGAGTGTTGGTGTTTATGTTGTATGGCTCAATACACATTTGACGTAATTTCCTGTACCACGAACACACGGCTGTCTGTCCGCCGGTGTTTACCGATCTCGGAATGGTTTATTTGTCCATCAATCACACATAAAGAGAAGTTTCGACAGCACAGTCGGGCGAAAGTAAAAGGATCAATGTAAACTCGTTTTTTTTTAATTGTGCAATATTTCGGCACACCGCTACGTATGTTTTTGCCTAGGGTACCAATCAACTCAGCCATAGGATTTAAAATATGAAATTATTCAATTGGCCTGCTTCAAATGTATTAATACACTGGGAGAACTAGAGCAGAATATCGGTATTCGATTGCTTTGTAGGAACATCACACTGTGGGATGCCAACACTCCATTGTCAACTTCTTGCATCACAAATCAATCTGACTTTAAGTTTGTACATACAGATTAGATAGTACTAAGAAACTGTTTCGAGACCTCTTAACAAATATATAGAAAGCAATATTTGAACAACGGTTCAAAGTATGAAGACTCAATGTGTTGGATGGTACATGTACTATCATTAGTGGCTACAAAGGCCTATCTCCGCCCTATCCTTTTTAAAATGCCGTGGAATCGTCAAACTTGAACAGTAAACCTACATTTTGCCATTTCCCCTTTCGTATTCCTTGCAATGCCGAGGATATATACGTACATTGACGAAACCAACCCATATATGCACAGGGACACATGTCAAATATAAACCGGAGTCACAGCATATATACTACTTTATTATTACTGTGACGCCCATTTATGTTATAGCATGTAGCGCGCCCCTGTGTATACAAGTCTCTACACGGGACATCGTATTTGGTGTCATCGACGAATCAGAAGACGCTTGTCCTTCTGGAACGCAAGGTCTTATTCTATTTGTACTTTTTCAGTGATCTCCATGTAAATATTTTGCCATGATTTAATCGATTTTGATTCCAAATACAACTGTGTTGACAATTTGGTATTCTCTTGGTTTTTTTCCTCAAAAGTTTGGTTTCATATTGAACTCCCTATCTTGTGTTGTCTTCCCTCCCGTTTTGGCGTTCTGTTGCTGACTTTGTTTTCCTTCAAGGAATATTTTCTTCGTGTTAAAATGATGAGCTCGTGTTATAGAACAATGAACCTTCTTCCCAAGGGTATTTGGTATTGTGGAAGAAAAGTTGCTCTTGATGAAGAACGATTAAGTCGAAATTATTAAATCAGCAAAACTGGGGTCTGAAACGTCCACTTATACCCACGGTATATGTCAATGGAATCATCAGGTACAGCCTGGCGAAACAGATGGTTTTGGCATACCCCGTGTACGACTCTATTTCTAATACCCCGTGTACGACTCTATTTCTAATACTTAAAACCAGATTACGTTTACTGAGTTATATGGAATGTGAACAAATTAATTAAATCTCTCATTTCAACTATAAATATTGATTTTATGTTAGTTATTGTTCATGCTTTTAAAGATCAATAAATCAACTTCGGGATATTGGTTTCGCTTCAACCTATAGAAGTTATGGATTATGAGCTTTCTAACTAAATAATGCAATTAGTCGATTTCAAAACTCATGTCTTTGAAGCTTTTCGTGAATTCACATGTAGTAATCTTTAAATCCACCAGGCCCGTTTGTCCACAACAGTTAATGGATTGTATGCCTCCTACAACATCGCTGGCCGCGATGATGGAGATTACATAGATTATTACAGTGTCACAGAATGTCCCGTACATTTACTGTTTCACTCAAAGCTCGCCGATACGATTGTATAAAATCAATAAATGTCTGATAAACTGGTTTCCTATGTTATTTACGTAAAAATATGTACATTTTAATTAATACTGAAGACGAGTATTGACACGAGACCAATCACCACGTCGATTACAAACACAGAGCGGCTGTACACCCCTTGACAGAGCAGGTCTGTCTCGCTGTCGCCAAGGCGCCTCTTGTTAGTATTGATAGGCGCTCCATCAACAGTTGTCTGCTCACTGAGGACCACGTATATGTCTTAAGCCACTTCCACGACGGATTTACGTAACTATTTTGAAGACAACGGATTCTTTTTGTAAAGTGAACGTGTTTTCTGGATCTAAATAAGTGATTTATTGTGTGAATTTTGATCTGAGTGGACAAAATCTCCATTCACGGTATTCTGACCAGAGAATCTTTGTGGAAGTCATTCTCTCCATAGTCGATAAGTGTATGACGAATAGGTTGGATTTTAATGAATTATTTTTGTGACGTGAATATATATTAGCCCATATCGTCTATTTCTCGTCCATTTCTCGTTGTTGGATTGTACACTCCAAAGGTACCCACGGACAATATTCTTTAAAATATAAAAAATATGCCGGGCCCCCGAGATCCAAAGAAAAAGAAAAGTAAGTCGTTGTCGTTGACTTTCAATCGTAAACACGTAACTTCGGCTTATAAAGTTAAAAGAGGCCCTATGGGCCTTAATCGTTCACCACGTATGTTATGCTGTGGGCAAATGAATCTGCATGAACGTTTAAAGTAGGTCAAGGTCAAAGCATTTCAATAAAGTTGATATAAAACAAACGAATACTAACGGATTCATTTGCTCTTTATAAAGTTAAAAGAGGCCCTATGGGCCTTTATCGTTCGCCACGTATGTTGAACGTTCAAAGTAGGTCAAGGTCAAAGCATTTCAATAAAGTTGATATAAAACAAACGAATACTAACGGATTCATTTGCTCTTTTGTAACCTTGACATTGGGTAAAGTACACTCATCCAAGCGTGCTCGTGGCCGAATGTCTTTACATTAGGCCTCATGGTTAATAGAAGAAGTTTTTAATGTATAATGTTGGAGAGGACGGAGGGACGGTCGGACGAAAGGCGCCGCACCATCCAATAAGCTCACATGTGTTTCGTGCCAGATGCTATCAAATTTATTTTTCGGAAGATGCTGGTTCAGAGTGAAGTTGAAATTTAACAATACTGAACTTGAACGGAAATATCTAATGAGAGGCTATAGATTTAACTATTGATGGCAACCCTTTGTTTTAACTTCTCCTCGGGTTCTGTTTGTTTGCTTTAGTGTCAAATGGATCTGCTATTCTGTCCTGGTGTGTTTAAACCGCAGTATTATTCATATTTATTTCATTACAAAAGCCCCGGCGGTGATTTGTACAGCCATGACAAGTTGTAAATTTATTCGGAGTAAGGTAATCCGATAGTTGATTTATTCACCTTAAAATAATAGTACATTTCTAGATTATTTGTAAACCTTTTAAAAACCCACCCCAACGTGAATGGGTGTCTGGTAGTTATAGAACAAACCCAACCCCGTCACAGTTGGTATTTAGTTCTAGAATACACCTATCAAACCGAACTCTCGCGTAATACATATTGCTATAGATTTAACAATAGGTACCATTTTACAACACTGGGTATTTACTAGTCCTACAACACTGGGTATCTACTAGTCGTACAACACTAGGTATTTACTAGTCCCACAACACTGGGTATTTACTAGACCTACAACCCTGGGCATCTACTAGTCCTACAACACTGGGTATTTACTAGTCCCACAACACTGGGTATCTACTAGTCCTACAACACTGGGTATTTACTAGTCCTACAACCCTGGGTATCTACTAGTCCTACAACACTGGGTATCTACTAGTCGTACAACACTAGGTATTTACTAGTCCCACAACACTGGGTATTTACTAGTCCTACAACCCTGGGCATCTACTAGTCCTACAACACTGGGTATTTACTAGTCCTACAACACTGGGTATTTACTAGTCCCACAACACTGGGTATTTACTAGTCCTACAACACTGGGAATTTACTAGTCCCACAAAACTGGGTATTTACTAGTCTAACAACACTGGGTATCTACTAGTCCTACAACACTGGGTATTTACTAGTCCTTAAACACTGGGTATTTACTAGTCCCACAACACTGGGTATCTACTAGCCCTACAACACTGGGTATTTACTAGTCCAACAACACTGGGTATCTACTAGTCATACAACACTGGGTATTTACTATTCCCACAACACTGGGTATCTACTAGTCATACAACACTGGGTATTTACTAGCCCTACAACACTGGGTATCTACTAGTCCGACAACACTAGGTATCTCCTAGTCCGAACAACACTGGGTATTTACAAGTCCTACAACACTGGGTATCTACTAGTCCTACAACACTGGGTATCTACTAGTCCTACAACACTGACTATCTACTAGTCCTACAACACTGGGTATCTATTAGTCCTGCAACACTGGGTATTTACTAGTCCTACAACACTGGGTATCTACTAGTCCTACAACACTGGGTATCTACTAGTCCTACAACACTGGGTATCTACTAGTCCCACAATACTGTGTATTTACTAGTCCCACAACACTGGGTATTTACCAGTCCTACAACACTGGGTATCTACTAGTCCTATAACACTGGGTATTTACTAGTCCTACAACACTGGGTATCTATTAGTCCTACAACACTGGGTATTTACTAGTCCCACAACACTGGGTATTTACCAGTCCTACAACACTGGGTATCTATTAGTCCTACAACACTGGGTATTTACTAGTCCTACAACACTGGGTATCTACTAGTCCGAAAAACACTTGGTATTTACTAGTCCGAAAAACACTGGGTATTTACTAGTTCTACAACACTGGGTATTTACTAGTCCCACAACACTGGGTATTTACTTGTCCCACAACACTGGGTATTTACTAGTCCCACAACACTGGGTATTTACTTGTCCCACAACACTGGGCATTTACTAGTTCTACAACACTGTGTATCTACTAGTTCTACAACACTGGGTATTTAGTTGTCCCACAACACTGGGCATTTACTAGTTCTACAACACTGGGTATCTATTAGTCCTACAACACTGGTTTTTTACTAGTCCCACAACGCTGGGTATTTACTAGTCGTACAACACTGGGTATTTCCTAGTCCTACAACACTAGGTATCTACTAGGCCGAACAACACTGGGTATTTACTTGTCCCACAACACTGGGCATTTACTAGTCCCACAACAGTGGGTATTTACTAGTCCCACAACACTGGGTATTTACTAGTCCTACAACACTGGGTATTTACTAGTCCGAAAAACACTGGGTATCTACTAGTCCGAAAAACACTGGGTATTTACTAGTCCGAAAAACACTGGGTATTTACTAGTTCTACAACACTGGGTATCTACTAGTTCTACAACACTGGGTATTTACTAGTCCTTCAACACTGGGTATCTACTAGTCCTACAACACTAGGTATCTACTAGTCCTACAACACTAGGTATTTACAAGTCCTACAACACTGGGTATTTACTAGTCCTACAACACTGGGTATCAACTAGTCCGAAAAACACTGGGTATTTACTAGTCCTACAACACTGGGTATTTACTAGTCCTACAACACTGGGTATCTACTAGTTCGAAAAACACTGGGTATTTACTAGTCCTACAACACTGGGTATCTACTAGTCCTACAACACTAGGTATCTACTAGTCCGAAAAACACTGGGTATTTACTAGTCCTACAACACTCGCGTGTTTCTTTTATATCAAAGAATGTCAGGATCTTTTGTGTCTGAACCCTGTTTTCTTGGTGGGATCCTCTTGAGTTTATCACGAGTTTACATACTAAATCTAATTCATGTGTTATATTTGCCGTTTTCAGTGGCGACAGCAACGAAGACGAAGGAGTCTGCAGTGCTGAAGGACAGCAGCCTCGCCATTCTGGCCAAGGAGATCGGCCAGGAAGACCTAAATGGACTTGTGTTGACCATGTACCTTAACGTCCCAAACACAGACATTGTCAATATCGCCAACGGTGCGTCTGAATGTGGACTCGTAGACGCTAACGAATCACTGCGATCAGAAACAACGCGCAAATGTCTGATACACTGGAAGAACATGCGCGCTGGAGTAAAGGAGCGGGAAAAGGTGAAAGAATTGGACAGAGCACTGAAGGAACTTGGGAAAGCAGAAATCGCCGACGTTGTGTCAGAGCGACACTCAAATAACGCCGATTTGACGCCTGATGCTTTCTCTAACCTTGGTTAAAGGAGGCTTTAAAACAGACTTTAACACATTACATCGACCGCCACATTTCGTTTCTACTTTTATATCGACACTATTTTAATCCAGTGAATGGTAAGGTTATGTGCTTCTAGCGTAATTAAGGATGTATGTTATCTAAATGAATCTCCTTTCCTAAAGCGTTAGATTTTTTGAAGTGTAATTTGGACTATTTTAATTAACTGACACACATTAGCAGGTATCCAACAAATGAACTGCTTTAAAAACAGCTGAGGATAGTTTAAGACAACTAGGGGAGATAACCCCGCCACAAATAATATCACATGTATACATGTTTCGACACCAATGATCTAGGTATTACTGTTTGTGATGTAGATCTGTTATTAATAATTTGTGTGTAAGGTAGCCTGTGATTTGAATATGTACATGTGTATAACAACAAACACTTCATTTATAAACGTTGAACTAGCTGATCCGTGCTAGCTGGAAAGCAACTAACTTTGATCACAAATTACCAGAAGAATGTATGCAACTTTAACTGCCAAAATATCTTGTTCTTGGAAAATGTTTAAACAAAAAACTACTGGATCAATATACCGATACTCAAAACATACGAGTTAATTTGTATTGTATTCATAATTGTAATATTTTCATAATTAAATATTGAAAAGATATTGTATTTAGTTACGTTTTAAATATATTGACTTACGGGATGAATCTATACCAATTAATCGCTCACCGGGCTTAGTGGAACAATAATTTAATTATTTCCAATTTGTACATGTCTTCATGTCCGATAAATTACCTCTGACCTACTGGGAATGAATCCTTAGGATTCGATACACAATGAAGCAGTCCTATCCGATTAACACTTTCTGGATGACTCCTATATTGTATAACACCAATCCTAGATTGAAACATCATGAGTACGCAAGACCGAGCCAACAGAGGAAATCATGCTAGCCAGTGAGTCAGAGGGGCGAAGGACGGGATCTCAATAGGGGAAATATTGGTAGTCCTTTAAGATCCGACTCCTTCAGTACCTGTAAAGGGATTTTAACCAAATTACCTCGAAGAGTATCTATTGGCCACGGGATCACAACATCATGAAGTTTGTTCAAATCCCCCGATGAGGTTGGCGACAAAACATGAATTTTGGTTTTTAAAACTGTATTTCTCAAAACCAATCGAGATCCTCACTATATCACCACATACTGTGCTTCCAGGATTGGCCCAGGAGTCCTACCTCGCCACAATGGACCTAGTCCTCAATCATATCTAGGGATGGCAGAGATCCCCACTTACGTATATATTTGTTTGGGATGAAGAGACGAATACATCCATGCTTCCACGAATTGACTCAAAAATCTGGCCTAGCCAATGGGGACTGAAAATCCTGTTCATGACATAGAAACAGTTTTGATCCACTTATGCTACAATAATTGCCTCAGAGTCCTGTCAACCCCTGGGGACTTCACTTATTCCGTGTTCATACTAATTAAAATTAAAGACCCTTGGAACACTAAAGATAAAAGGTATTTCCACACCGTCTTCGTCTCCCGGTCCATAACGGATACATGTATATAAAGATTCCTTCGACTTTTTCTATTTATTGTACTCTTTTGACATACCTGTATCTTATTTGTCTGCCTGTTATGATAGTAGTGCCACCTTCACCTGGGCCCGTATTCAGGAAACCGTTCTCATGCTCAAGCATGACGTTTTAGTCACGTGACACGGTCAAAAAGTCAATTGTAATAATTTAAAATGTATGTTGCAGTTAATCTTTGCAAAATTCATCCAAATCATTGACAAAATGTGATTTTTCATTAATTTATCACTGTAACAGAAAATGTGACTTGAGCACAGATTCCAAGTTTGAGCACGAGAATGGTTTCATGAATACAGGGCAAGGACTAAATAATTTCCATACCACAAATGCCTAAGGTCATGTGTTTCCAATATTTATATTGACATTAACTTTCCACAGGGAAATGTAATTATAAAACTTTATATATGGATGTATTGTGACTAGAGCCTGTGGCACGCCACTCTCTGCTTCCCTTCTCCAAGGTCACTGACAGGCGTTTTGAAAATATATTTTGTCGGAGCAATAAGCTTTGAAATGCTCAACTTTTACCAACCTTCACGACTTAATTATAATTTGCCTGTGTACTTGGGATCATCCATGTAAGTACTGCTAAGGTGTCCGCGAGTAAGTCATTCCATCTGGTGCTTGTTGCAGCAACCACAAAGCCAATAACTACATTTATAATTTGATAATAATTCGAGGTTCTTATATACCGCTTTATCACGACCTATGAATAGTTCATAGGTCGTCTCAAAGCGGTTCACAAATTATTATCCGTGGTTATAGGGCCTTTGCAACCAGCCAATACCTTTCTCAACTCCCTGGGGAGCATACAGCCGGTGCTACCATTTGGTGCTCACAGCTTACAATTCAACAGTTCTAGCACTGCCCAACCACATACTCATTTACAGCTGAGTAGACTAGACTGGATCAAGGGGAGTAAGGTATCTTGCTCAAAGATACAACACAGTGCAGTAGCGTGACTCTAACCCACAACCCTTTGGTCAAGAGCCCGGCATTCTACCACTAGACTTCCGTGCCTCCTACAAAGTGGAATATAGACGTCACCCATCAACAATATCAAGGTCAGACGTGGGGGTCAAAGGTTAGGTTAGTCCTGCTTGTCTAAGCATTTATTTTTCAATGGCTGGATATGTTAAAAAGTACAAGGATGAATTCTGACTACATGCATGTATGGTGTTTATTCTGTAGTCGACAGGTCAAGGTCACGGACAATCCAAAGGAAAATGTACACTATTTTTCTTTCTTTTAACAAAGTTTTGGAGACAATCTTATAAGAGTATATAATTGTAGGTAATTACTGAATTTGAACCAGTGTATGCTATAAAGTATTTAAATATTCTTCACACAAGACTGATGAAACAAGTCTTGTGGTTTTCATTTGAGTAAAATCAAAACTGATGGACAAGTTTAATTAATCTCATAAGAAACAGACACATATTCCAGAACACTTTCATCATATAGATCTATAAATTATAAATATGAGATTTAACATACATTCACAGTGATGCTATTTTATTTGCATGATTTTACATGAAAGTCAACATTTAGATACAATTTGTATAAACATGTCCCTTTATTGGGTAAAAGCACCAACTTTTTTAGGATGTTTGAATATTTTTTTCTCTTTTAAAATTAAGCAATATACATAACAGCAGGAAAAAAATGGTAATCGTCAGGAAAGAAAATCTAAGGTATTTCATCTTTTTAAACAACATATAAATGCAATCATTGATTAAATACTGCCCTCAAATGAAATAACTCAAGTGTTTGCACATGTTTGATCAAGACCTTGGGGAAAACAACCCACAATATTCTACTACACTGCAGGACTTTCTCAACTATGCTATTACACACCCATAGCTGTACTCATCATGTCACAAGGTGAAATTGAATTGTCAGCTAATTAATGAAATAATAATTATAAATGGGATAGTTCTAATCCAAATATAGATCTGTTTGGTCACAGCCGCATAAATCTATTGAAGATATAACAATATACAAGTTTTAAGCATTAACTCACCCTTGAAATTTCATAATGAACTATTCCAACCTTTGAAATGGAAGAGTTCAAAAGTGTCTTTAGGGGTGAATGAGTTAATGGGCAGCTTCATATAAATCTACCCTTCGATCTTTAAATGAGCCTGCCGTGTAGTATTTATATAATCTGGAGTTAAGTTACTATTAAGCGCATACATAATCATGTGCAAGCTTAATTTTTTAATAAACATGATATTCTATCCTCATGGAAAATGATGACACATTCTTTGTTTACCTATTGTACATATATAACAACAGTGTATCTATAGGTTATTACAATGTTATTATTAAAACACGAGATATGAAGATTATTTTTCCAATACTGTATGCGTGTACCAAGAAATACTAATGCTTCTGTTACCAGGCTTCATCCACACAGAATGAGGCTGGCAATAAATCACACAGTTGTGATATGGTACATATAGAAAATGATTTTCCCACCACATCATGACTGCCCATTACTTAATCAATAAATAAAGGAATGGCACATAATTAGCTAGCTAAAAGTATTTCTTATCATCATTATGGAGATGTCAGATCATTTCTGTCAGGAGTTGTACTATCTACATGTATATCAGATCAGAGCCGAAGAAAGTAGCAGACAGAATGCAGAAAGGAAAAATGATTGAATGGGATAAGGATGAAACTGGATTGATGAAAACATGAAAAAGATAAATGCACATGTCATTTTGATGTAACCAATATGGGATACCACAGTACAGGACAGTTATATCTGTGTATATCAACCATGAGACTGCAGACCAAGACTTTCATAATCTCCGAAATCAGAGACACTCCTATTTCCCCTACACTCTTGGAATTCCCCTACACTCTTGGAATATGCCATGACAAAATCAAAGACTCTGTACACAACATTTTATGGATGATACAAGACTAGTTCAATTCTTTGAAGTACATTTGTACATATGATATAACAGTTAAAATTAATCTTTGAAGGTACATGTAATATGTATCAACCAAGTGACTGGAAAAGTTTGTTTTATACCTGAAACCAATCAAACAGCTAATATATACTGTGTGAGGGTGTGGAGAAGATATGTGTATCAAGAGAATCAAAGAAGCCTTGGATTTTGAAGATGGATATTCCTTTATATTAGAACTAGACAAAGAGTTAACAGATATCCATATATAACTAGTTATATTACAGAACAAACAATAGATGGTACAATGTCATAGCTCCTTTGTCATAAATTATAACCAATCCATTTGAATACATTAATGGCAAGATAATATAAATTTGATCGAAATAATATCTGCTATACAAGTAACATTTGGTTGTACTTGTGTTAAAAAATAACAGCTTTCATCAGCGAATAAAATAATAACAACATTGATTCTGTTATGCATAAATAGACACTCGTGTGCCAGCGATATAAATCTACCCCGTTACTCATATCAGTGTTGTACGTATACAGATAACACAATTAACTGACAGCATGACGTTACGTTTTCTAGTATTATCTAATTGTGAGGATAAGCATTCATAATTCAACATAACACTTGATTCTAGTGCACAGTGTTACAAGAAAGAGAAAATGGCTGGTCTTTGAGCCAAACCGGGACTTTCACACACACCATACGGATGCACTACTAATAGGGCTACCGGGTTGCCAGGGATAGACCCAGTCCAGTTCCACTACACACACACCATACGGATGCACTACCAATAGGGCTACCGGGTTGCCAGGGATAGACCCAGTCCAGTTCCACTACACACACACCATACGGATGCACTACCAATAGGGCTACCGGGTTGCCAGGGATAGACCCAGTCCAGTTCCACTACACACACACCATACGGATGCACTACCAATAGGGCTACCGGGTTGCCAGGGATAGACCCAGTCCAGTTCCACTACACACACACCATACGGATGCACTACCAATAGGGCTACCGGGTTGCCAGGGATAGACCCAGTCCAGTTCCACTACACACACACCATACGGATGCACTACCAATAGGGCTACCGGGTTGCCAGGGATAGACCCAGTCCAGTTCCACTACACACACACCATACGGATGCACTACCAATAGGGCTACCGGGTGGCCAGGGATTGACCCAGTCCAGTTCCACTACACACACACCATACGGATGAACTACCAAAAGGGCTACCGGGTTGCCAGGGATAGACCCAGCCCAGTTCCACTACACACACACCATACAGATGCACTACCGGGTTGCCAGGGATAAACCCAGCCCAGTTCCACTACACACACACCATACGGATGCACTACCGGGTTGCCAGGGATAGACCCAGCCCAGTTCCACTAAACACAGAAATAGTCCTTCCACAAAGCATTTGTCATTTACAGAATAACATGATATCACAATTTTGATCCTGGTTTTGAAATGTGCACAAATATACTAGCAGCTAATCCACGGTCATCTGTTTCTTATAGCAGGTATATAGTGAAGCACATTGTACTGCCTGTTCCACTAAACCTGGGTGAATACAGGAATCACCACTGCAAGTTTATGTACAGCAGTCTTATTGAACACCCTAACTCAGCTGCCTTCGTTCCCATGAAATGACTGGATAAATGGAACAACTTTGAGCAGAAAAAACTAAAACTCTGTCTCCATATATACTTGTTGGATAGTGGAACAATCGGTGTAACTTTGGATTATGGGGCTCAACTCTGTATTGTTCGTCGCTGATCATACAAAAATAATAGTATGAAAGTGAAGAGTAAGTTCACCAATGTAACATACTCTGTAATTCAATATTGCAATAATCCCACCAGGATAAAACGAAATCACTTTCCCACAGTTTAAAGACAGGGACAGGACACTAAAAATCTCAACAACGTATCCTCTTCATCCGAAAGTTATCTGTTGTGATATCTGAAAGCAAAGTAGATGACATTTCATATGTTGAATAAAGTAACCAATATTGTATCACAATTTGACAGCTGTGGGAACCGTAGGTCAACAGTCAAATAGTGTTTTTTTGTTAATTTGAAACTTTTTACATGGTCCGATATAAAATTCTTGCTAGGCACTTTAAAAAATACTGATATTCAGAGAAGTAGTGTTTCGAGTCACCAGCACTTTTAACATCCTTTACATATCGTAATAATAAACACAATATTAATTCTCATGTTGATTCTCATGTTTGACATGAATCATGTGTCAAGACTTGTAAAATGCTGTATTTTCAAACTTTCATATCAATGTAGATATATATTTTATACACACACTTTGTAAATATCATCCTGATATGTACTATTCCTTGACTTGAAAGCTTACCTGGTTTGGAGGATATGTACGTACTATTCCTTGACTTGAAAGCTTACCTGGTTTGAAGGATATGTCGCTGTGTATATTACGTTCTGTTGATCTGTTGCCAAGATATTGCTTTGTAATGTGTGGGGATCTGTTAAGTAATAACATCATAATTAAGTTATTAACAATAAATGTAGCAACTCAAAGTAAACATTCCACTCTTTACAGTGCCATCATGTTAAATGCTACTTCAACACTGCAGAGTTTCAACCACTGCATTGTCTTTTGATATAAAATTAATCAAAAATAAACTATAAGTGTCTGTAGATAAGAATGCACCTGCTGCCATGCAATTAGAGCCAATTTTTTAATCTATAAAATAGAAATGGTGACCTTGACCATTTGGTTCCTGAAATTCAAACTCATTCAAAGTATTCTTATACCTGCCCTTAGATTACACTTATAAGTTTGATCAAAATGTGTAAGCATTCACTAAAGCTTGAGTGATGCAATCAAAATGGTTGACATATTTGTATAGCTAATACTGGTGAGCTTGGCTTTGGAACCCGACACACTTGGTGGCCACTTTGTTTTTACTATCAGTCTTTTAAAATGAAGCATGCATAACATGGCAAGAAAATATTTGTGGGGGAAAAAATCACTGAAAAAATCCCAATACAGATTACAGATGTAATAACACACTATTTAATAAGACATTACTTACTGAAACTGTCTTCTGAAAGATCTTCTAGTCTACCTTCCTCTGGTAGCTGTCCTGACTTGTCACCTTTAGCAGACTGGAGGATGAAAAAAACAAATAAAAAATGTAGTAAACACTGGTATATTTAGTACACACAAGATGAATATAACAAACTGAATACAAAAACGTTCTTAACACTGTATTCAATCTACCATGAAGTTAATCTGTTTTGATTGGAATCATTCTAAAATATCATTCTAGATTGATGTTACTCGAGACTCCAGGAAATAGCCAAAATCTTGGCAAGGACTTACCAAATATGATTGAATATCAAAAATGAATATCAAAAATGATTTTCAATATTGAAGATGAAATTCTTTTGACTACTGATTTATATTTCTTGTTTTCTCATAAAGTTCATGTTTAAATAGATATTATAATACAGTGACAATTAACATGGTATATTACTGTGTAAAGACCGACTTACTTCTCTGTATTTTTGAAGGTATAGTTTCAGTGGTTCAACATAACTGTCGAAACCTAAGGTTGACATTGCAAACAAAATGTCTTCTCCGTTAATTGTCTTCCTCTTTTCTTGGTGACATCTCTCACTAGCTCTTCACAATGTTAAGGTTTCCACTATAATATTTACAATACACGTTACTATGACACTTCCCTTACAAGAACCTACCAAAATCCTTTTTTATTCAGTGCACTGTATGAATGGCAATATACCCTGGTATATACAATAAGGTTGACTGTTACAATAAGGAATGATGACTTACAAGACAAATAAACATACAAGGAATTTGCAGGAACTTTATATATATCTATATTGTCTTGAATCTCCTCAATTCTATGTCTTTGTCCAAAAACTGAAGGAGTTTAAACTATTAAAGTTCATGGTTTTTCTAAACACACAGAAATTTAAACATTTAAACGTTTAGATAAGTCTGAGGCTCAACTTTACAAATTTAGTTGCTTAGAAATATATCATTTTAGTTTTTAATTTAGCTATGGTATCAAAAATGACACACCAGTAGTCTAAATAACAAGTCTGTTTTATCATTGATCAATAACGCAACTTAAATTATACAACTTAATTTTTATCAGTATCATAAATATAAACTGTATATGCTAATAAAGGGAGATAATAGATATTTTCGATTTAAACAAAGGATACTCGCTGGTAATGAAACTGATGAACTCTGACACACATTCCTGAACACATTCTTTGGCATCTTTTGCAATCTAAAATGAACAAGAATACTGCATACTATTAACACCACATGTGTCTACTTTAAACTTTCAAACGAACAAATATTATTTTTCAAAAGTTAACTGGGACAGCATCAATATCAGTATATTTTATTTTATTTCACGATTCTGAATAATAGTAAACAGTTAATGGATTGTTATTTGCAAAATATGAAAATTCATGTATGTTTTCATCCAATTTGACACCAAGCAGTTTCTTTAGTTATTTACTTGCATTTTGAGAAGCAAGAGTCTGGACTAATGAGTTTAAACATTCTCTACCCCTGACTGTGTTTGGTCAGATTTTGGGATACTTACTTTACCAGACTTTGGAATTGATTTCTTCATTATTCTTGCAACATTTGCGATGGGAAGAAATCTGTCCTGTAAAAAAATAAAAATAAAATACTGTGTGTCAATAAAACTGTCAAAATGATAGCAATTCTGTGGACTGTATGATACAAGACTTATTATCAGAATTTGTGAAGTGATGAAGACAAGACATACATTGTACAACATATTTTATCAAATGCCTGAAAACATTATTATTAAGTGTAATGATGCGAACAATGTCTCGGAAGATACTATTTAATGGTCCTATACAGCTTGTGATGCAGATTTGTTATCTGACCTGTTCTCTTAGGGGTTCATTATCTCGGGGTTCGTCGTCATTTTCAACTGACTGTAATGTCTCCTCTCCATCTGTGGATGAAAGAAAATTTAAAATCTCAATTAGTTTTGATATTAGCAATAACAATAACATAATCAAGCAGCGTATGACACAAACAGTGAACTTTGGGACACTTTAATATCAGTATCCAAAAATATCATAATCAAGTAGTGAACGTCGACACAAAGTGAACTTTGGGACAGTTTAATATCAGTGTCCAAAAAGTTTATAATCAAGTAGTGAAGGATACAAAGTGAATTTCTCAGTGTTTGAAAAAGCGCTGTGTATATTGAAATTTCAACTGTCCATGTCAACCCCAGATGTTAGTTCCCCTCCCCCACCCCCACCCCCTTCTCTTTAGCCTATCCATCATCTGGATCATTACAGAGACATGGACATTTTAACGCTCCTCCTCCATCTCCTCCTTTCGAGATTATATAATTAGTTTGATCATTCACTTCAATCTTATTGTGATACCATTAAATTACAAATCGATATAGACTTAGTGAAATATGTTTACTTACTCGGAGGATATTGGATTGCCCTTTTGTTCAATAATGTTGATGTTCATGTGATAATGATGTAATATTTCTTACAAGGATACAAGAGTAGAACTTCTTTATAGCGATAATATTAAAACATGTTCATTAGTAAATAACTATTTAACCTTACTGTATACCCATACAACTGTGCGCCAATATGTGAAATGAAAGCCAAGTGTTTTACTTTAATGCATATGTGCCATAAATCACCTCAATTGAAAACTTAAACAGTCATCCATGTCGATTATGAAATGTTATAACCTACCATCCTGTAGTGGAACTGATCCTGAAAACATGGAGTCCCCAAGGCTATCCACAGCACTGTCTCCTGAGTTACCATCCATTGTAGCTCACCTAGAAGGAAAAAGAAAATGGAGGTAGAAATTTAAGTGAGTGTTGAAAATTGCAGAACTGAACTGCATCATTCACCTACGACCAGGTAGCTTGATTTGTTTCAGAGCAACTGTCTAGAGTTTGGAGGGTCCCAGGTTCAAATTTCGGTCTTGGCATGCCTTTTCCTTTTCCTATGGCAGTGGTGCCTGTGACCAAACCCTGTTTCAAGTACTGGGCGAATGCTAGGGAGTTAAAGTCTTAGAAAACAGAGGGAGGAATGTAGCAGAACTGGGCTGAGTTGACACTCAGCACCCAGGTAGCTAATAATAAGCTCAATTGGTTAGAGCGCCTATCTCAAGTTCGGATGGTCCAGGGTTTTAATCCTGGTCTAGTCATGCATTTTCCCATTCCTGTTACACTAACAAACCTACAATAATGTTTGCTAAATAAATAAAACCAAACATAAATAAGTACAAGTATTATATGAAATACAGACACTGTATTTGTCCTTATTAATAAGCAATGTCAGTATTTAGCATTATGAGAAATTTAGAGCAATTTCAGAAGCTTTCAAATAGGCACTTTACAAATATTTAAAGTTAAATATGGAAAATTGTTGTTAAAGATGACAGTACAAGTTGAAAAGCTTTTAATTAAGATAAAAAAAAGTTTTGAATTTATTATTCTGGTTTTGAGATCTTTCCCATCTATTCCGACTATCGTTTTCTACAGTGCCGACATTTTAGTTTGCCCTTGCTTGGTAAAGAGTATGGGTTTCGCTGGGTATAAAAAGCGCATTACCTGTCACACGGGTTATCACTATACAACTGACCGTCTTGCGACTCAATGCACCGCTTTCACACTGTTTTCACACAGGATGTTATTACAAGTTGGATAACTAAAAGGTAGGCATTAGCGTTAGTCGTATGTTTGTTTCGTTCAGGGCTGTTTGAGGTTGTTGTTTTTTTTAGGGGGGGGGGGGATTGTGCATTAGATATTTAATTGGTCGTATTTTACCATTGTGTCCACTTTTTTTAGATAAATGATATCTTTGATGTGTTCTATTTCAAATCTATTAGACTGATCTTATCGTGAAAGTGTTGTATTTATATAGTATAGTAGTGTCACTTTGCGTACACATTAAACAAATGATAACCGGTCTGACGTGTAATGCGCTTTTTATACCCAGCGAGACCCATACTCGTTACCAATTCAATGCAAGCGAGTACATTCTATAACGTCGCCGCTTCCTTAGGTACGACAGCCGAAAAAGACTGAAAGCTTATTCACTTGCACTGTCAGCTTTTAAAGGGGAATCGGGATGAATCAGACAAGAAAACTATATCAGGGATATCGGTGCTCATCTAATAAGAACAAGTTACTTTTCATAGTTTTATTTAGTAGATAAAGATATTTTCATTAACATCATCAGTTATCAATGGCATTAATAATCATAGCCCCAAAAAGGTGAAATATTATCTTTTAAAAATTGAATGTTCAGAACGGCAGGCAAAATGCTAGAGCATTCTAATATTACAGTTGTTACGGCAGTAGCGGATCATTGTCTATAGCGGATCACTCGGAAAACTAAATCTGTTAACATTAAAATGAGCATAGCTAGACGGAAATTAAATGTACAAACTTGTTAATATAGTTTTATTCTTGAAAGTAAAAACTGAAGATTTAGTGTAATTAGTAAATTAACAGCAAAATCACGAAAACATTGTTTTGTCAATACGATGCACACCTAGTGGACGCCATGTTGGAAAACGGCCGGTTCAGGAAAAAAACAGTTTTTTATTTCAAACCACCATATTAGCCAAATGAAATATTGTTTTATGGATGAATTACGTTGTATTGTTTGTGGAAAACTCAGTGTTCTGTTAGGTAACAACTGTTTACAAATATGAGCGAGCTTTTTCCGAACTGTGTTTTTGTGTCTATAGCGGATCAGTGTTTCGTGGTACGCACGCGTATGAACATAACTGAACGTGCACACGCGATTTCGAAAATTGGAAGAGCAGAAGAAGAAAACATTGTGATCCAGATCAAGACAACAGGTAATTGTGTAGTTGCACAACAAAATCACCCTTTATTCGCCCCAATATATTAACATGTCACATGATTATTTTGATACCAAAAATAGCATGTTTACAATATCAAAAGCATGGCAAACTTGTTACTCTACCTTGAATCGGGCCATTAATTCTCAAATCCATATTATCATTGACCAAAACATGACTCCAAAGCACATCATTAAACTCCAAACGAGTACCGAATAATAAAACCATGATATTTGTAAATAAGCGTATCAAACTCTCACTGAATGAAAAGTTGACTGGGTGTGACGTAGCAATCGAGCATCACCATCAGAGGCCCACCAGGGGGCGCGATCCGTTAATAGACACAAAAACGGTAGGCTTTGTTTTGTTAATTTTGTTTTATATGGTCAATGTTCATACATTATTTTAATATGACATGAAAGGATATACTTTGTAGATTCTATAAATATACCATGTTTGTGGTAACCCTGTTCTCAGAAATTGTGTGGATCGTTTTTTCGCCGAGTGATCCGCTACTGACGTAACAATTGACTACATTGTATAGTTTTCCAGATCTTGACTAATCTTCCCTAATTTTGTTAATGAATAAAACTGTAGTGAAACTTGGGCAGGTGATTTACTGCATAACAGGTATAGCTCAGTTTGTTATGTATAGTTACGTAGTTTTTCTCACTATTTTTATTCTTATCCCATATTAATCGTTGCTAGCCCCGTGATCTAAGCTACAATGTTGTGGACTTCAAATTTCCCCCTATGTTTAATACAATCCATGAAAAGGTCTGCATGATTTGGTTTCTTTTAAAAAATAAATGACTTGTAAAGCTAGTCAAGCCAAAAACAAATCCAAAGCAGTGGCACGGGATCATTTTATGGAATTACTTGTTTTAAATTTTACAAATATTGACATAACTGGCCTAGGATAGTATGATGGTTTTACTTTTAAGTTACATTTGTAAGGATACATGTGCTTATTATTACTATTATAACCCATTATATACCCAGGAATGACTTACGGTTTCAAGGCACAGTAACGTACGTACACCATTCGATGAACATTATAAATTACTTTCAGTTTGATTGGCAATCATTATAAACCCAGCGATCTGATTAGGGATGACCGTAAAATTAAAGTAGTCTTTTATCGACATAATTAATTGATCAAATGAAATTACATCAGTAGGTGGGCTTTCCTCTTAAAACATAAGCAATCAGCCATAAAACGTAGACTTCATTCCACGGTGACGATCAGGACATGGTTATCGTAACGGAGGAAATTTATATTTCACACGGAAATAGCACTTTTTACAACAACACAAAAGAAACATGGCGACTCATATTGAAGTCTACCTTGAAACATGCGAATATTGGCTGTACATATTTAATTTTCCATTGAATTATTCGCTTGTATGTCAATTCAAAATAATCGCACGTGTAGACCATTGGCCATTAGGATACTATCAACAAACCTCTGTGATTGAGAAGAACTTGAGAAATTGGTTGGTCAATGCAGGAGCCAGTGAGATTTCAGAGACTGCCAGCCACTCAGCAGAGAATGTGACATTCGATGGCTGTTAAGTTGACTGTCTTGCCCTACAGAATCTTTTAGCAAATTTAATAAATTTGCGGATACATGAATTATTTCAGGTATCATACGAGAATCACATATGTTATTTTTTGCAGTCGTACAATTAATTGTATTACATACCGGCTATAATAAACATGTAAATGACATTAAAAATTACTTCATGACGTATTTGTTTAATTAATGTAACAGCCTAGCCTGCTTGCGTTTTTGTACACATTAGGAGCCTTGAAATATAGGTCTATTTAAAACAACTTTGTTATTGTAATCAAATCAGCAGGTTAATGATGTATCCAAAATCAACTTAAAATAATCACTATTTGAATGATTATGAAGCAAAAGGTAAACCGGTCGAGCAAAGGATGATAGAATAAATATTGTCCATATATCAATGCGCTGGTTCCGTCGAACATAAAACGGAAGTGACGTATTTTTGGGAAATCCCTTGTCAAAACCCATGAGTGACCTGCTAAAATGCATATTTACGTAAAAGTCTTGAAAGGAAACGAAATAGAAGTAGCAGTAAGTATGTTTTAAGGCTAAACATGAGCTGTTTTCACTTAAACGGTTTATTGTAAAGAAACCAAAACCATGATAATAAGATAAGCACGTTTCATACCGTAACACACGCAAAAAACATGACCATGAATAGCAGGATCAACTGTTACACCGTCAACAACATTGGATATCATTGTCACCAGATATTAGATACACACAGTACACTATGAGTGTTTTAAAGCACATGTAATTAAAACCATGATAAAGAAAAGAGACCGTCTTTATAAGAAATATCAAAAGACTGGCAGTCAAATACAAAACCAACTGAGGCATACTTATTGGAACTTCATAGAAGACATTGTCTCTCCCAAAGCTGATACCAATTAATTCAATCTTATGAAAAGGTTCTGGACTTAAATAATGCCCAAAGATAGCATTTTTTTACCAGTCATGTGGATAAAGCTAACATCCAACACTGACAATTTCAGTTATTTCTATTTCTGATAGTTCTGATTAGTTCAAAAACATTCGACCAAGACTATCCAATATATGGTATTATTACCCTGAAATTTCTCATTTCCACATAACAACTAAGGGTATTGAAAAGCTACTCCTCAAGCTAGACAACAAAGTTGCAGGACAAGATCTCATCAAGCCTTAAGTCCTCAAGAAGTTAGCTACTGAAATATCTCTCATCCTCTGCCTCATCTTCCAACGATCCCTGGTTACCAGTCACGCTCCATCTGACTGGAGGACGGCAGATATTGCCCCTGTATATAAGAAAGGCCCAAAATACAACCCAGTATATCTGTTGCAAGCTATTAGAGCACATCATTGTCAGTAACATCATGAACCATGCCGATACACATCAGATGCTTTACCACCTTCAGCATGGCTTCAGACAATCCAGATCATTTGAGAGTCAATTAATTGAGTTCATTGATGACATCACGAGTAACTTAAAACAGGAGAAGCAAACTGATGTTTTCAGATCATGGACTTCAGTAAGGCATTTGATAAGGTGAGCCACCCACTTTTTAATCTACAAACTTGGGAGCTATGGTAGATAGGGGGCAAAGTCAACACCTGGATTCAAGTGTTAATTCTGTTCCTTTCCTTTTCATGCAACAACCATTTATGACAAAATCTTCAACCAGTTGAAGTAGGGGTGTTGATAAACATATTCCAGTAAGTAAAGGAGCCCAACAATCTAGGATGAAAAGTGAAAGTTATTGTCCGCTGAAGGATGTTGTGAGATCCAAAATTATCAGAAAATAGGGCATGGCAAAGGTATATGGAAATACGAACAGAATTCAAGTACTGTACTTAGGTTCTGTATAAACCTAAGAAATTAAGCGAAGGGTATGATGCGAAAAGCTCGAAAGGAAAATGAAAAATAAATTGCTTTAAAGGCCAAGTTGTACCCAAAACAATTTTGAAAATATTTTAATTCATAACAAAAGGTTAAAACCGGAATTTCAGACTTGAAAGGTCTAGATGGAGAAACATCTAAAGTTTCATCAAAGGACAAGACTTTAGATGATGTTTTGGCCAGTATTTTAGCAGTGTTTTCACAGATGAACCTTCGGGAGACATACAAATAATTGAAAAAAAAAATCGACTGAAGAGTACCTTTTATGTAAGACGGTATAATAAATCTCAAGATCCAGACCAAATGAACCCAAAAGTTAACATATCCCTATAGGACAGCATACATTGTTTTACCATCTGCATGGAAAGAAGCTGACATCAAAGCCAAATTAAAAAAGGAGCAAAATCAGACCCAGGAAATTATCAACCAATTAGACAACGGAAAAGATAGTGCAAAATGCCATTGAAAGCATATGAGAAACTCTTCGGTATCAATCAAATTAGATTTATTGGGTAGAAAACTTTCTTAATCAAAGGAAACAAAGGCAGGTCCAGTACACTCTGCCAATTGAGCTATATAGCTATGAAGACCTATATAGCTATATCCAGCTATAAATTATAGCTGTATTGAGCTATATTTTCTCAGATTTCAAATTTCATTAAATTAAAGCAGTCGCATAAAACAATAAGGTTAATGGTAATGTTGACTACAAAAAGCATACAGTTAGATGTTTATTTTCATTTTTCATAAATGTAAAATTTCCGATTTCTTTACATCATTTTTTTTAAAAAAGAATACTTATATTTAATGTCTTTTGTTATCAACCTAATGATACAATCTTCATTTAAATGCGGCTTTGTTCCGTTTTCCTTAAAAAAGAAAATCACATGAAAATAGCTCAAAAGACCTATTTCAGATAGGTCAATAGAGCTATTATAGGTCTTTACAGCTATATAGCTCAATCGGCAGAGTGTACTGGACCTGAAAGGGTAGCAGTAAATGGAAATTCATTAAAAGACCATTTCATTTGAAGCGGAATCCCTCAAGGTTCAGTTCTAGGTCCAATACTATTTGTAATCTACATAAATGACCTGCCAAAATAAACCCTGTTGAATACCTTCTTGTTTGCCGACGACACAAAAAAAGCTATAGAGAAAATAGGTGGATTTAGGATAAAAAAGTGATTCAACATGACCTTGATAATTTACAGGTCTGGTTCAATATATAGACATGGCTTTTGAAAATCTACCTTCTTAAATGAAAACTACTTTCAGTAAAAGGAAAAGAAGTAAGAAGCTACCACATGGCTAAATTAGGAAGATATAAATTAAGCTAGGCTGGAAAAGACTCATCTTAAAAAATCATCGGAAGGCAAACAGCATTGTGGGGCTTAGTATGTTTGGACAAACATTTGTATGTTTGGATGAACCAGGTCACTTTTAAACAACTGTTTAAGGTGCTGGTCCACCTACACCTGGAATACTTGTGGCAAGTGTATGGATCCAATACAAAATGAAGAAAATTGAGAAGGTACAGTGAAAGGCAACAAAACCATGGCTGAATGATCTATATAATTATGAGATATTTTCATGTCATCAAAGTTACTGCTGGTATCAATATCTTTGATAAAGATTCAACATCCAGAAAGAGGGGACATGCACAAAAAATATAGAAAAAACATTGTAAATTAGATATTAGGAAGTTTTCCTTTGGCTACAGAACTGTTGATATATATGTAGCAGTCTTCCTCAAGTGGTCATACAGGCTACAACAATTAGAGACTTTGGAATCAGTAGGAACTATCATTGGAAACATCTTGAACTGAAATTGAATCACCTACATGTGCACTAGCCTACTACAAATCTACACCAACAGGAGTGACTTTTAAATGAAATTGTTATTTGATATGATATGATATGGACATAGAGGCAAGTAACTGCTTGCGTCCTTCAATGCATGTAGCCTAAATCCTATTTAGGAAATAGTAAACAAATTACCATCTGTCATGTTTGAAAAGATGATAATACTCCTGTTATATTAAAGCCAATATTTCCATTTCTAATCCATGATGCATGCAATGGTAAACCAGTTTCTTGTAACTATGAAGTATACACATAATTGACAATGGATGAATACCTGTCATCTGTACATCTCAATCATGAAATATTCACATTAATGTTCATTGTTGAAATTGGAATGGGAAATGACTGATGTAGGTTTTGCCTGTTGTCACATCCTTTTGTTTTGAAACAATGAAAAATCTTGTAAATCAAATAAATTATAATTTGAAAAAGTACTCGACAATGTGAGCTTGCAAACAGTGTTTTTGATTGGCAAACAGTCTTGCCAATCAAAAAAACCATAACTCAACAATTGCTGATTTTAACTGATTTTGTTGGATTCAGGAAAACCTCTGTATCCTAGTTGTTTCGCCCCAGATCCTGTTAACATACTGTACATGTTTTTCGCCCTGAATCCAGTTTGTCCAGGGTTTTTCCCTCCTAATTTATATTATGTTTTGCAAACAATTATGGGAAGAAATTCAGGAATGCTGTGTGGAAATCTGGTCTATTATGTATGAGTCCAGAGTCCTAAATATTACATCTCTCCGAGTATAATGACCGAGAAGACTAAGACGTTCGGTTTGGTTTGTTTGTGTTTAACGTCCTATTAACAGCTATGGTCATTCAAGGAGGTGCCAGGTTTTGGTGGTGGAGGAAAGCTGGAATTCCCAGAGAAAAACCACCGACCTACAGCCAGTACCTGGCGATTGCCCCACGTAGGCCTTAAACCAGCAACCCAGTGGTGGAGGGCTAGTGGTAGCAGAATGATGGAGGCCTTAATCACTTAGCCACCGTGAGACTAAGGGAAAGTTTAAATACGACTATAAGCTTTGAACTAATAAACATGCCAGAAAAAATTGTCCTACAAATTCTTTTTGTGGTTAAACAACCAAGGATGAACATACACGACTTGCGGTGAAACCACCAAAGACCAACCAGTCGGTATTTTGATATTTAAACAGCAATATAATCCAGTATGTGTTCACCTACATTGTATACAAAGCCGTACACACATGTTACACCCTGTAAAACTTGTACCTGTACATTGTGATAATTACATTTATCCTATAACTACCGGTATGTTGTTTTCCATACATCGAACCGAGACTTGTGTAAAGGTGTATGATAGCTATAGTCGTACAATCAACATATTGTCTGGCATGGCATACTTTAGTGTTTTTAAGGATATTACCTGACAATGCTTTGTTAACTGTGTAGATCAATACACACATGTGACACTCCGTCATCTATAAAAATTGAATTCATCCCATCTTGTTTAATGTTTCACATATCAAACTGAAATTTTGTCTGTTGGCATATTATAGTCATTCAAATAACATTCTGATGTTGCTTACTTTATTTAGTATTTTTAAACATTTTGTCTACTTACATTGCCCCGCAACTTTTTACAACACAGATGGTCTTATAAACATGTACAAATTACTAGGATTGCTTTTAACACTAGCCAGATTTGAAAACCAACATATCTCATGATCATCGATCAGTTGTTTAGTGTTTTCATGCTGCAATGATGTTAGTAACTATGATTTCAAATTGTTAAAGGTATCCCCAAGTCATACCATAGAAGATGTAAAAGCCATTTTGGAGATGCAATTTTGTATGCCTGCCGCTCAGCAGAAACTGGTATACAAGGGGAAGACACTCACAGGTAAACAAAATACATTATTTTATTATTTTTAAAACAGAGTTTTGAGTTCTTGACTCATCATTTTTAGGTTGGAACTCAACCTGTTTGGAAAAACCTCACAAATATATACAAAAAGTAGCACAATAAGTTTCAAAACCAGTTTTGTCTGCCATAATCGCCTAGATCTATATTTAGAAACTTAATCAAGTCTGTGAAACGTGCTAGCTTTTGATTACAGCCATTAATTCATCTGTATTTTGTTAACACTTACAACCCTATGTAACTTAAGTAGACTCAACATTGCACTGATTTGGATGAGTCCATTATTGTCGTAAGTGTTGGAGGGGTTAAACTATTCATTGAGGGTACAATTATAACATGTAAAATATCTAGGCTAAAAGAAAACATCAGTCAACTGTACTCTTGTTGTCTCCATTTCTATTTCTTCTGTCGACTCAATTATAATTACAGTGCCAGACAACTTATTCAGGTCAGGTAAAAACTAATAAAACAAAAAAAGAAAAATGATAAAATATCAGTAATGGAGTTACCGGTATTTACTCTTAAATCGTAGACAATGTGTTCAGATATCTCACCGATTAATATGCATACTATATTCTGTATACATAACACTCATTTCTAGATAATATACCAGATATTCCTACCAAAACAATTGAGTAATTTAGAGGCAAACATGCAACATTTCATCTGAAAATATTGATGTTTTAAAAACTTCCATTTCAAATTTCCTACTTGAATCACTATATTGTACTCTGTTGATGAAAAATCAAAATAAGATAGTGATTGCTGTTATTTCAGATGGAAAAAGACTCTCAGATTATCACATTTCTGATGGCGACAAACTGTTTCTTTTCCAAAAGAAGGGTGATATGTCTGGTGCGAGTACACCCATAACACCAGGCCAGACATCTGTAGGGACACCCATCCTACCAAGTGAAATGGGGTCCTGCACCACCACAGTTCTATGGGATAAACTTTATGAATTCCTTCAGAGACATTTTACTAAATCAGATGCACGGAAGGTCCTATTAGAATTTCAAAAGGTGAGAAAATCCTCTGGTATTTTGTGTAATGTGTCATATTTTGATTATATAAATTTAATATTTGTGAAGTATTTGGAAACAATTTTCTTGACATCTCATTCATAGAATTGTATCTAAACAATTTTTATAATGAGAAATATCTATTTCTTAAAACAAAGATAAGCTGCAAAGTTTGTGGTTATAAATAAATCTGAAAAAGCTGTGATTTTATGATATTGGTTATAACATATGCAGAATTGTTAAAGATTTTTTTTGTATAATAATATAGACACACAAATATTGCACATTAAATATATAAACACATGACACTAAAACATCCAGGAAACACTTTCAGTGCTGATTTTTCAATTGACATTTGTTTTACATAAGAATACATTGAACAAGTATAAATAATTTAATTTACATACTGACATCTGCTTTAATCTTTCAGGATTTCTATGGGCAGCTGAAAAATTTAAGCCTGGACGATATAGAGAGACTAGCAGCCAGCAAGCTACGTGTGAATGCTAACGGAAATGTAAACGGACATGAGCGAATGACTTGACATTTAATTACACTTTATTATATCTTTGCAATTTTATCTTTATTATGTGTCATCTGGAATGGTCTAAAACTAACATGATTAGGAGTTGATATACATATATATATAGGAAAGTTGTGAAAATTCCTTGTTTAGTGAATTATTGTAAACTTTAATTACCAGCTGTAGTTTTTTCTTTTCTTTTTTTTTTAAATTTTCAAATTCAGTAAGTTAAAGAGTGTGGAACTAACTGTTAACTGGTTTCATGTCCAAGTTCTATCAAGGTAGAGTCTTTGTCAGATATTGGGTGTTTTAAATTCAAACATTTTAAAATTGCTATGGGGTAGATTAAAGAAAGGATATGAGAACACAAGATGCACAGTATTTTTAACAATTTCCTGGTACATGTAATACACCTATGTAAAACAATGAATACACTTTGAAAGTAAATTACTATTACAGTTTACTTCATATTTTCCACCCAAAGTAAAGCCATTGAAGAAAATTTCCCAACACTCCACTTTTATATTGAATGTTTTTTTTTATGTCAACCTATATGATGTGTTTATGTGAAAAGAGTTTGAAATAATTTGTCATAAAATCTGGAAATAAACAATGTCCACCTCAAGAGCAATAGAATTTCATAGAGATACTGTTACATAGTCACATTTTGACTCAAATTAATTTTATTATAAAGGATGGATATATTCTGTTTTGTGTTAATTATTTATTCAGGTTTTCAGTGAATCAATTACAATATATAGATTGCATATATTTTATCGTTCATAACTTTGCAAATTTCATAGGATACTTGAATTTGTGATCAATGCTTATTACATGAATTTTATTAATATCATGACATATATAAGTAAATCTAAATGTATTATTAAACCTTTTTTAATGATTTGTTTCGTCTGTTTTATATGAACATGTACATTGTATGTTGAAATAATTGTGTACTGATAATTATGACAGCAAGTTGATTTTCTGTGGGAGTTCCAAATTTTGCTGACTGTGATAAAGGCACATTGTTTATACATGCGTTGTATGACCTGGTGACATAACTGGTAGAAATATCCGACCAAGTGAATGTGGACTAGAAGTGTAGGATTCCTAGGAGTCTGAAACTATATATGTTCATCGTCACTTTTTACTAATAATTGACTTATGTGTCTTTGATATCCATTAAAGTATTTGAAATCATTTTACGTTTTATGATTTTATTTTTGTACTGGTAAAGGTGGCTGAAAGTTTACATGTTTTCGTACCTCTGGCGTTGGTGAAGCATACATATATATGCTTGAAAGAAAAAGCATACACTAAAATCACAACAAGAGGCCAGAAGGGCATGTACAACTAACCAGGTTATATGCAAACAAAGCAAAATATTCTCATTAAAATTAATATTGAGTATAAGTTGCCAGGGGTGCTACTGGATCCAAAGATTCATTCTGAAAGCATTTATGTTTCAAAATCTTCTTTCTCAACAGTTATTAGCTTACCGGGTCTGAAGGATCAAGGTGAGCTTATGCCATACCGTGGCGTACGTTGCAAATTTCTTCAAACAACTTCTCCTTAACCACTGATTTGAATTTAACTAAATTCAACTGGAAGCATCCATAGGTGGTGGGGATTCAAAATTGTACAAATGGTGGGGCCGAAAGGGGGTTATTTGGCTTTATTGCTATAAACGACTACTTACGTAGAACTATGCACTGGATATCAATCATATTTGGTAGGAAGAATTCATGGGAGGTGGGGATTCAAAATTGTACGAATGGTGGGGCTGAGGGGTGGGACCAAAAAGGTTTTTTTGGCTATATTCTTTAGGCGATTTCTCTGGAACTATGATCTGGATATCTACCATCTTCTACTGAAAGAACCCCTAGGTAGTGGGGATTCAATATTGTACAAATGGTGGGGCTGAGGGGCAGAGCCAAAAGGGGGCAATTTGGCAATATTGCTATAAACGACTTCTGTAGAACTAAGCACTGGTTATCAATCATATTGGTTGGATCCATGGCCACACCCCTAGGGACCTAGTTTTTGAGTCACAACTTGGAAACAGTTGAGATACCCACCCTATAAGGATACAAACAATTGCTGAGTACAAAGAGACGAATGCACATATGCTTCCAGGATTGGCGCGGGGGTCTTGCCCCACCCTTGGAGATTTAACCCCTGGGTCATAACTTTGAAATGGTTGTGATCCCTACCCAAAAACTATATATATACAATTGCTGGGCATAAAGAGAAGAATGCAGTCATGATATTAGAATTGACCCTTGGGTCTGGCCACAAACCTAGTTTCTGGAACACAACTTGGAAACAATTGAGATCTCCGACACAATAACCATACATACAATTGCAGGGGATGCAAAAATTTAATTTTAGATATTCTACAAGGATTGGCCTTGGAGTTTGGCCCTATCCCTGGGATCTTATTTGGAAAATATTTTGCGATGATTTCTTAGATATCACGATGAGTGATACAGGCCCTCAGGGCCACTTTTTTCCATATATATGTTACACAATGTGTGAATATAAAGGGAATTGTATTACTTGCGATGCCTTGTTAATACATTTTGAATGCTCCCACCTGAGAATGCCTTCAACCATATAAGATCAATATCATCTCGTAGCTTTAGAGAAGGAGTCCCTAGAAGCAATAAGGTAAAATTCTCCCTTAACCCTGTGGGGTCAGCCCCTCCTTTTCTAAGGTAAAACTCTCCCTTTTTCCGTGTGGGGTCCGCCCTTCCTTTTCTAAGATAAAACTCTCCCTTTTTCCGTTTTGGGTCAGACCCTCCTTTTCTAAGGTAAAACTCTCCCTTTTTTCGTTTGGGGTCAGCCCTTCCTTTTCTAAGGTTAAACTCTCCCTTTTTCCATGTGGGGTCAGTCCCTCCTTTTCTAAAGTAAAACTCTCCCTTTCTCCCTGTGGGGTCAGCCCTTCAAACCAAATTTGGTTGATATACATCACATAAATTTCAGATAAATTGCTAAATGCAACATGGCCATGTTATCCATTTTGGCCTTTTCTGTCTTTCCATTTGGAGGTCATTCCCCTTTACATTTCTGTTTTGGAATCCTAACCCGAGGATTTATCCAGAGTGATATTCCAATCAGCTGTTCAGAAGAACTATTTTGTTGATGATGGATGTCACAGTATTGCTTGAGGATTTTAAGTGAATAAAAAAAGACAAAAAACAACAACCAAGAATTCCTTTTCTTTATTGGATATCGGTGTAGGCAAATGGTAAATGGTTACAAAGTCCTGCACCAATATTTGTTTACATGATATTGGAAAGTGCATTACAAGAAGCATGATTAGTAATCTTTTTCAACATAACAATACATCAGTTGTATTATACCGCTGAAGACTTAAAACATTTAAGTGAAGCTGAAGTAACGTGCCTATACTGGTACTCTTGGCAGGATAATGCCCACATCATGAAAATGGTCGTTCACATTTTTTCTCCAAAATTAATCATTTAAAATCCTTTCAAATATTTGAACATTACTATAATTGCTATTGTTTATCACAAATATTATTTGCCCTCAAACAATGGATGGTGTACATTTATATAGACATTCATTGTATATTAACATATACAACATAACAATTATTGCAATACAGTACAATAACATCTTTTTCTCACAATCTGATTCTCTAGGTCAAACTTATGCAGTGTAATGTTCTAAAACATCGTTGCATTTAAAAAAGGATACATACATTCTTTAAGATTACTGATTCTCTCCCAATCATGCAGTGTAATGTTCTAATACATTCACTTTTAAAACGAAACATTCAATACCATTTGTGGTTCAGTCACACTCGTGCAGTGTAATGTTTTAGTTAAAACATTGTTGCATTTAAACAGATACACTACGTACCATCAATGATTCCCTCGCAATCATGCAGTGTACCGTAATGGTCTGATCATTTTTAAAGGATACTTTCCAGACCATTCCTGATTCTCTCTCACAATCGCACAGTGTAATGCTCTAATCACGTTTAAAGGATACGTTCCATACGATTTCTGATTCACCCAGTCAGACTCATGTCATGTAATGTTTTAAAACAACAGCATTTTAAAGGAATATATTCATACCATTTCTTACTCTCCCAATCCCAGTCCTGTAGACTATTGTTCTAAAACAATCATTTTTAAAAGGACACATTCCCGTAACATTTCTCATTTTCTCAGTCACAGCCATGCTGGGTCATGTTCTAAAACATCTGTGCTTTTAAAATGATACATTCCATACCATTTCTGATTTTCTCAGTCACACTCATGCATACTTGAATGTGTAATGTTCTAAAACAAAATCTTTTTTCCATTCTTGTTGTCACCTGGTTCATATAACATTTCATGTATACAACTCATCTATCAATGACAATTGTGGAATATTTATCTACTTTCTTACTTTTACAGTCAATTAAATGATGGTTTTCCAAGCAATGATTTCCAATACTTAAAGTGTTATCATATTTTACCATACAGTATAGAATTAAATATTAGAGAATATATTATGACGAGAGTGTGATACTTAGGACGATCTTAAATAATAATAAGCCAGCTGTACCATAGCTAAGATATTTCTATGAATGGATACAGAATGAAGCTACTTCAACTTTGACAAATGCGGTTTGATAGGTTCCGTAAATACAAACATAGGTTAATATAACTTAATATTTGAACTTAATTTGTGACTGGATCAAACTGAGCGAAAAATTCTAAAACTCATCTTTTAAATCATGTTTCACAAGTGACATTATTGGCAAGTTTAATTCCTTGATTACCCATCCTTAAAATTATCTCACTTTGTATGTTTGAGAATTCGAAATTACAAAAAAACCCTAAACAGCTTAACAAGAGGCCCATGGGCCTTAACGGTCACCTGAGTCCTACAATATTTATTTTTGTTGTTGAAATATGTACCAATTTGAGTAAAAAATAGTATAATGTTAACTTAACTTTGTCAGGACCATGAGCTGATCATTCCTAGACCAATTTTAAGTGAGATCGGCCTATTAGAACTTAGTAGCAAAATAGCGGCCATGGCAGCCAAATTGTATTTCTGATTGACCCGAAAAATAACAACACTTTGTCAGGACCATGAGGCGATCATTCCTACCAACTTTCAGTTCAATCGGTCCAGCAGAACTTGACTTTAAGTTTGAAATAGGTTTTCAAAATGGCGGCCGTGGCGGCCATATTGGATTTCTGATCGACCCGAAAAATAACAACACTTTGTCAGGACCATGAGGCGATCATTCCTACCAACTTTCAGTTCAATCGGTCCAGCAGAACTTGACTTTAAGTTTGAAATAGGTTTTCAAAATGGCGGCCGTGGCGGCCATATTGGATTTCTGATCGACCCGAAAAATAACAACACTTTGTCAGGACCATGAGGCGATCATTCCTACCAACTTTCAGTTCAATCGGTCCAGCAGAACTTGACTTTAAGTTTGAAATAGGTTTTCAAAATGGCGGCCGTGGCGGCCATATTGGATTTCTGATCGACCCGAAAAATAACAACACTTTGTCAGGACCATGAGGCGATCATTCCTACCAACTTTCAGTTCAATCGGCCCAGCAGAACTTGACTTTAAGTTTGAAATGTAAAATGTTAACGGACGACGGACGACGACGGACGACGACGGACGAAAACAGATAGCAATAGGTCACTTGAGCTAAAGCTCAGGTGACCTAAAAATACAGTTGTGGGTTACAAAGTATACTTAATAACTGAATGAATAGAATATACATGTGGTTTAGAAATACAATGGTTTGTGGGTCTGTAGTAAGCTGCCATGATAAAGATAGGATTCCCAGTGACTTTAATTCTTATAATGAAACACTGATATAATTTGCACCTGTTACACATTTTTCTACAATAAACTGAAGTCAACAAACTGAATTTATCAATTCTCAACCTAATACTTCAAATAATCTTTAAACACAAACATACCAATTTGATGACCATGAAGCCAATATGTAAGCTATTTCCCCATTCATGCTCCAGGAATACTTCAATCGAAACAATCTTATCAAATGCAAATGTTTTTGTGGGGAAAAGTAGTAAAACAAGCCATTTACTGCAACCTAGCAAATCTGCACAGGACACACAGCATTTACCATGAATAGATTAAAACTAAGACTAGTTTTGTTCTGAGTTGATGTCATTTCCAGCAATATCATTGAATTCTAAACAACCTCTAATCTCAGTAACAATACATAAATTCAATTTTGCATGAAATGTTATCCTTTTAAGAAAGTGAATACAACTTGATAATTTGTGATTATTTTTATTTATATGTTAATAGATTTACAAGGTAACGACCATGTGATACCAATCATTCATTTTGTATGTTACTCTGGGTATTGCTCTCTCTCTATCTTGCCCCCCTCCCTTCTCTCTCTCTCTTTCTCTTCTCTCTCTCTTTCTTGCTCTTACATAACATCAGACACATACACATAGAAGAATCACTATATTACGTGAGCATGGTTAATACATATCTACAAAACATTATGTAATAACAAATATATAATACCACCTTCCACATTAAAGGTAAAACACTCCATCCCTGTCTGTTGACATTTCATATACAATGTACATACAGTGTTTGCCCTTGTATACAATGTACATACAGTGTTTGCCCATGTATACAATGTACATACAGTGTTTGCCCGTGTATACAATGTAAATACAGTGTTTGCCCATATATACAATTTACTTACATCGTAGTTGATCAAATACATCATAACACATTGCATGCTTATACAATGCTTTTACATAATAGTTTTTCAAAAACAATGTAATGTAGTTTACATCTATTTATGTAATGTATTTCCATTGTAGTTGTTTAGATACAATATATTGAGCGCGAATATTCATACATTGATGTTTTCTATCTACTTTAATGAACATACAATGTAATCTTTAATAAACTATTTACTATGTACCAAATTGGTGATATTTTTTTTCATTAACAAACATTGTATTTTCAAGCACAGGACTGTACATACATTGTATATTTTTATTAATGGAGAGGTTATTTTCCTTTTACATAAATTGTGATTTTACATAACATCATACATACATTATAATTGTTTATGTATACATATATATTGTAATCAGTTTGGCTTGTAAACAATACAAAATATAAATATATAAATTTTCACAACATTGAAGGCAGTTGTTTTCTGACAGTGTATTTCTCATTATGTTATAATATCCTTTTATCTTTGAACAAAATTATATCAATATTTAATTTGAAATGATTTATAGTGCATTCTCATTTTTTTCATCTGTTTTCATTTGTTTCATTAATGCAACATAATTTGATCAGTTATATTAACCTGATATTAAAAAGAAAACTTCTTCTAAACTCTCAATATATCATGAATATTTTTAATACAATTAGACAAACAATCTCATGCCTTGATTCAACTAAAATATAACAGTTCTAATTTCAAAATAATCTTAGGATGCAAATACTTTTTGAAAAATAAATAAAAAATATCTTGTTAGTGATGTACTTTTTTTGTCGTATAACTCATGTGAACGCCCCTCTAGCCAAGTTCTGGCTTGGACCAGGAAGGGAGATAACCCATGTGAACGCCCCTCTAGCCAAGCTCTGGCTTGGACCAGGAAGGGAGATTACTCATGTGAACGCCCCTCTAGCCAAGTTCTGGCATGGACCAGGAAGGGAGATAACTCATGTGACCACCCCTCTAGCCAAGTTCTGGCTTGGACCAGGAAGGGAGCTAACTCATGTGAACGCCCCTCTAGCCAAGTTCTGGCTTAGACCAGGAAGGGAGATAACTCATGTGAACACCCCTCTAGCCAAGTTCTGGCTTGGACCAGGAAGGGAGCTAACTCATGTGAACGCCCCTCTAGCCAAGTTCTGGCATGGACCAGGAAGGGAGATAACTCATGTGCACGCCCCTCTAGCCAAGTTCTGGCTTGGACCAGGGAGGGAGATAACTCATGTGAACACCCCTATAGCCAAGTTCTGGCTTGGACCAGGAAGTGAGATAACTCATGTGAACGCCCCTCTAGCAAAGTTCTGGCTTGGACCAGGAAGGGAGCTAACTCATGTGAACGCCCCTCTAGCCAAGTTCTGGCATGGACCAGGAAGGGAGATAACTCATGTGCACGCCCCTCTAGCCAAGTTCTGGCTTGGACCAGGGAGGGAGATAACTCATGTGAACACCCCTATAGCCAAGTTCTGGCTTGGACCAGGGAGGGAGATAACTCATGTGAACACCCCTATAGCCAAGTTCTGGCTTGGACCAGGAAGGGAGATAACCAAGTAGTCCTATAATATGATCTGGTCTAGTTTATATGTTAGTCTGTAACATTATATTACCTGTGTCTATATCATATTACCTCTTATATACTAGTAACCTCAAAAGGCTTTACAGCAGAGCAATACTCCATTTCCAGATTGAACCATTAGAATACACGTCTAACTTCTATGTAACAAGTCAAAGAACGTTGATGTCCACCTATCGTATTGTGTGTGGTATTTGACATGTGCTATAAACACACTGAAGAACACTGACTGTAAAATACAGTAAAGACAGAAGCAGGAGCTGTATCACATTTTACAGAAGAACAATTGCATAAAAGCTGTAAACACACGTTGGACAAATATATCATGAATGATGACATAATTTTTCAAAATGGAAAAAAACATGAGAATGTCAAAGTAAAAATGAACTATCTACAAGTAAACTTAATCAAACTTCAGAATCAAAACGTTATTTTGAAAATCTTCAAAGTTCAGTAGAGTATAATTTTGTGACCAGAGTGATTTTTGAAGATGCTACATATAAAATATAAAACTGACCTTCATTTACTTTTTTATGACACTCAATACAGATGTCTCAATAAATACTACACACTCCAACTGACTAAATATTCTTACATTATCAATATTGGTAAATTTTCAAGGTTTCATTCATGCAGACATTTTTGTAAACCAATTCTTCTAAAGCAAAAAAACATGCGGAACAATGATAAGAAATCTTCAAAAAAACACGACCTAAATTTATTTGGAGGCTTGGCTGCATATCTGACCAGCATGGAATGGAATAAAGACTAAACTTGCCTTAGTTCAAGGTCATGTGCTTAAGCACTTATAAGTACAATACATACACATGTACATTACGGTAAACTACACATGTACATTACGGTAAACTACACATGTACATTACAGTAAACTACACATGTATATTACGGTAAACTACACATACATACTAGGATTAACTCAGCATATTCAAATTTTCATGTGAAATTTTCCTTTTATTCTGACTGTTCATGATTTCTATTTTTTTTTTAATTTTCTAGGAAAGACAGCATTTAGGTAGGTAAAATCTGAAAGACTACATTTTAGTGTCTTTAAAAAATCTTCAATAAAAAATATTTTGACTACAAAATCTCTTATTTATGATAATAAAATGTTTTTTAAAAATTATATATTTTTATAAGCACTTTCAAGTGAATTGTTTTGGTTAAACATTAAAATTGTAGGCCTAATAACCTGTTAACAAGAAGAAAAAAACTTTGAAACATCAATGTCATTTTAAAATATGTATGATAAACATGGCACATGGCATGAGGTCAAGGATTGCATGGAAACTGGGCATGCATAGATAAATTGTACAGTACATGTACATATATTTAATTGAACACCTGGAAATCAATGGTTCAGACAACCCATCTAAGGTATGAGGAATACCCTTTAACCCTCTTGGGCAGCAGAGTAATACAAATTGTAAGCTAGTGTCACCATATGTATGAGAAACAAAATAAACAAGCGAAATCAACACAGCACAAACAAAACTACAACAAAGTTGACAATGTTTTTCCCGATATTATGCTTGGTCATCCCAATGACTTCCTTCCCTTGCGATATATTCTACAGTTACCATAGTAATAGTGTTATGACTATCCCAATGACTTCCTTCCCTTGTGATATTCTACAGTTACCATAGTAGTTGTGTTATGACTATCCCAATGAATTCCTTCCCTTGTGATATTCTACAGTTACCATAGTAGTTGTGTTATGACTTTCCCAATGACTTCCTTCCCTTGCAATATATTCTACAGTTACCATAGTAGTTGTGTTATGACAATTCAAGAATGTTAATTAGATAATACTATACACATTATGGCAGCAATGTGAGAAACGAGATGTTCTGTTTCACAATGCAATTATTGATAATTTATGTAGAGAGACACAATATTATATACCTGGTACATTCCATCTTCAGGATGTTACAACTAGATATGATACTAAATTGCAAAATTCTGTATTTATTACAATTATATGTAGTCTGCATTTCCTTTAACTGTGTTATTTCTTGTGGCATGTTATTTTATGTGACAGTAGTGCTGTCAGCTTTAAGCAGTTTGACTAAGTATTACCGAAGGTTATTGTTTGTCATAGCTTTCTTTATTGATAACTAGAAATTCTTTACAAATGTTATCTCACTTTATACAGCTATCTCAGATTTAATAATTCTGACATAGCAAAGTGAAATGATTTTTTTTACCAGAGAAAATCTGAGAAAAAAGTCCCCCCCCCCCCCCCCCCAACTACTATTTATTAATTGCAGAGTTAACTACCTTATGTATGTATTGATTATCATCTTATCATGTCTTAGGGCCTGTTCGTTCAAGCGGAACAACCGATTTGTCTGTTTATAAATGTAACAATTTCGGGTAAAAATCCTGGTGGACCTGCAAATGTTTATGCAGGTGGCCTTGCAAGGTTTTGTCGAGGTTCGCCTGAAACCAGCATCAGATTACTAGTTCCAACCTTATTTAATAAACCAACAACTGTGGTCCGATCGGTTTAACCGTTTAAACGAAAACGGCCTTGGTGTCTTGGGACATCAGTCTGTAAAGGTTTGAGAGTACCTTAGTTTTATTTCACTGAGCATGTGTGGCGACTACTATACTCCCGTCATATCATATCTACGCTTCCTCAGTTACCAGTAGGTGGTGTATAAACAATGGCATGCAGTTGTTCTTAAGCAAAATGAAATCACTCCTCTCCCATAACTCTCAAGAAATAAATTGGAACGTGTAGTTTCCTAGATAACAATAAACTAGATTCAAATATGATCATGTAAAATGAGGTATGGTTTCTACTGGTTTCTAGATAATTTTATGTCGCAAGTCAAAAAGCTAAATCGCTAAATGACAGATCTATAGTATACAAGATCGGACTGATGACCTCATACAAATGTAACCAATAACATGTTCAGGGCAGACTAGAACACTAAAACGTATAAAATAAACAAATGAATGAGCAAACGTATGTAATATAACATGTTATAAGTATATGCACAGCATAAAACGTAATAGTTATCGCCCTACATTCGGCTGAGTATATCATCGTGCTACACACGCAAAACAAAATCAGAAACACCAAACCAACAGTCAAATGATAAAGTCATATAAAATCATAGTTAAACAAAAAACTTCAATTAGAATGTTAAACTTGGTTAAATAAGGATTTCTCTAAATCAACATTATGGGTAAAAGTGGAATAGTCTTAACAATAATAGTTTTAATTATCAAACAGCTACATCATAGCTGTCAACCCTCCCTCATTAGGAGGGAGACTCCCCAATTTTGACCAATATCCAATATTTACCAATCTCCCTCAAATCTCCATCATTCAAGTCCAAACTCACACAAACTCAAAATCTACATCCTGTGGTCAAATGATTCCCTAGTAACTGCAGGGTGTGTAATGATCATTACAGGTGTGTCTGAAGCAAATAAATGCTTTTTGGAGTTACTTTTATACATAAAATGGGAAAGATAAATTGAGCAAAGTAGTTTCAGTCACGTTTCACGTACTTACTCCCTCATTGGAAATGTAGAATGAGGGAGATCTCCCTAATTGGAGGTTTCAGAGGCTGACATCTACGCTACATGTGGCATGTAGAGTAAGTATTCAAGTTACATGATGATTCTAACAAGTCCATTGTTTTGATCCAAATTTTTACCAATAATTCGGCCAATTCCGAAACAACAATTAAAATGTCTTCATTGTGAAACTGAAGAAGATAAGAAAATGTTATAAATTGACATTAGAATAAGCCCTATAAACGTATGGAGATATCTGATGGAAAATAATATTCATGAAAGGATAACATGCTACATTTTATGATAAAAAAAAGAAAAATGCAATGAAAAAAGTAAATATCTGGTCAAAAATCAAGTCAAAAGCTTTCAAACGAAGAATTCATACTATCTACAGCTACTTACACTTCACAACGGGGCATAAAACATGAAATGTAACATTTTAGATTAACAATCGAGTAAAAGTTAACAATATGTAAACAAACTTTATCAACATGCAAGTTTGCCAGGAAGCTCAAGGACTGGATTATCTCAGGCTCCACAATAAAGCCAGGTTATATTATAGTAGATTTGAAAAGGAGATACTCTTAATATTGGTTGATACAAAATTGTAGGAAACGAAACAAATTAATCAATTCTCATGTTACTGTTATGTGGAAATATTTCTGAAAATGATCATTTTTGTGGTACAACACTTGATTTGTCTTCCCGCAAAAAACTATTATTGAATCTGTCAGTTTTGTAAAAGAAAAAGCTAAGGAATATGTAAGTTGGGAACTACAGTACAAGTACTCGTTATTTCAATGTAGGAACAGAACTGTTAAATAAGAAGTCAAGCTAACCAGTTCTACTGGATAAGTTAATGAAGTCCAAAAGAGATTTTTTTGTCCTATTACTTTCAAATTCATTTTCAAGTGATTTTCCCGTGTAACGAGTGAAGTGAAAACTTCTGTGAGATCTAGTGATGACTAGAATTTTACAACACAATATCATGGTGTAGAATTTCACAACACGATATCATGGTGTAGAATTTCACAACACGATATCATGGTGCTACGTTTATGATGATGTCATCTAAAGTGTCTAATGTCTATGTAACTACTGGTATGAAAATATATCAGAAATGTGTATCGTAAAAATTCAGAAATGTTTCGTAAAAATTCTTCTGACACCACAACACTTACTCTCCAAGTTTAACCTCCATATATTCATCATATTTTCCTAACTATGGCCGAGATAAAGTTCTTTTGCACCAAACTGAACCAATGAATAATGAGATTGATTTTATATTGCTTCAAAAGTTTAGCTACGTATTTCTACGAATGAAGGACTTATGTCTGATTATATTGCATGTTCCTCGTTAACATGTACTGTTGTCATTAATTTCTTCTTGACATGGAAATGATTTCTTATCAATGAGAAACAAATGACATTCATATGAAGATAATCTACCATGAAAACTTTTCCAGTTATGGAGCTGAAAATGTTGATGAAAATTTCCTCAACTATTACCGGGATATTTTGCACATTAATATTCTCCCTCGTAAACAGATGATCAGATCATCCCAGAAATTGACAACAAAAAAAATGTCAATGGATTTCCCCTACATATATGTGATACAAATGTGAGAATGTTACGAAATACTTTACTGCACTGGACATGAGTTACTGGTAGTTCAGACCCTTGTTATTGTGAACAAGTTTCCGTCAATCAGATTAAAAACTGCAGATGACATTGCCTGAAAATTATGAGGTAGGCCAGTAGCGGTCAACAACAAAATATGACATCACATGTATGTAAAATGTGTTATGAAAGACTTATATGTGTGGTGGCAGTAATACAGAGCCTGTTGTTATGACAACCGATCAACAAAGTGCATAGGTACACCGAGACCTAAAAGATTCTTCTTGTCCTGCTTGAATTTCACAACATCCATCTTCCTACACATGTAATCCCAACACAGTTCATCGAGTGCAGGTACTCGAAGCCAGATTCTCTGGACGGCATTGGTCCTGATGGTGTCAATCCGTGAGACACCCCCGAACACATACATACAGCCCTCCTGTAAGTGTAAATACAAATGATATAAACAAATGTATTTGTTAATTTCATTAAATTTGAAAATCTGAAGGTATGTAATTTAAAGATACAGTACTGATATACCGAAACTACCGGTACACGCATATATGTTTGTACATTAAGTGCGTTCCTTATACATTCAGTTGGTTCCACTTATGATTTTTTTTTTAAATTGTAGTAATTACACTTGCCCAAGCCTTGAAACAATGAATTAGATTTTTATATTTTCTAATAGTTTTATATACATACAAAAAAACATAACCATCAGTCGCACATCATGGAATTATGATTATATCACACACATTAATCATGAAACAATCCCAGACTTCAGTATTAAAATTTCAGTTGTTGCTTAACAATATTTTTTTAAAAATCAATTCAAATCTGGTGACAAAGTATTTATTAACAATATATATACAGTGTATATATGTACACGTATAAAAATATTATCTGATACATAAGGAACAAAACAAATTAAGGATAATTCTAATTTGGACTTGAATCTTAATTAATTTTTTCATGATCTCGAGGGACCGATCATGAACTTATACATATCAAAAAATATTTCTAGAAAAATACATAAAGGAAAAATAATAAAAGTTAAATACCTTGGTGACATCAGCTGCATGGAAGTAAACAGGTATGTGGAGACTAGCAGACAGCTTTGTCCAGGTATACGTCACCAGACACAACTTCCATATGTCACTGAAAATCTCATGGGAATCAAATCCACCACATATGTAAGCGCCTGAAAATGAGGATACAGGGTTTCATGAGAAGACTGATTCGGAATCATTTTTATTATTTTATTTCTCAACTTTCTGTATAAAAGTTTTATTTCACAAGCAAAACTTTAGTTGTTTGTTACAGCCCATATATATATAAACAGTAAACTAAAATACTGTGAAATATTATCACAATACAGTGTATGTAAGCTCTTGAATTCAGGATACAGGGTTTCACCAGAAGATTACAATTTACAACTGAATCGTTGTAATTTTTTTCATTTCTAAACTTTCTGTATAAAAGCTTAATTTCACTAGTAAGACTTTGGTAGTATGATCCTTGAATTTTTTTTCAGGCGTTGTAATAATAAACAATATACAGTAGAAATTTGAAATGGTAAAAATGTCATGTCTCAACCTACCTTTTTCATAATACACACAGCTATGACACTTCCTTGGAGTAGGGTAACCTGCAAAAACAAACCGAAATTTCTACCCAGAACGACAACAAATTCCTTCAACCTTCATGTATGATGTTGCATTACAGACCAGGTAATGTACTCGATGTGAGCATGGAAGCTCAAGAGTATATTCTACATGTTTATATCTTGATCTAAAATTGTTACTTTACATAAAATCTTAATACAAGTTTTTTTTAGTTTACATACATATGAATAAATCACTCAAAAACATGTATTATCAGATTACTAGATCTATTACTATTTCTGACTTGTAGTACAGCAATTTTGCCAATTACAATATCATATAAAAGTAATTATTTTTTTAGTTGAAATGAAATGTACTGTCAGACCAAAATTACCTCCAATTATATATATACGTAATTACCACACTGAGAGTTAAAGGTAAACAGTCAAGATGACCAAATCAAACTTTTTGGAATGTTGGGAAGTTGTGGGGGCGGATTGGGAGGGGGATGTCAGTCCCTTTTTTTAATAAACAGTTGATTATCATTTATCTAAGGATTATTTCATGGAATTTTGGTGAAAATCTACCATTTCCATTCAGATGAGATGTCATTTCAAGGTTTTGTACTCTGTGACCCCTTATGGCTATGACCTATAGCTTACTAGCGGGTCAGCCTTTTCTTGATTATATATTATGATCCCCACAACCAATGATTAACATTTTCTTTCATCAAAATTTGGCAAATGGTTTCTTAGAATTAAAAAAATATATTGTGACATAATTAAGAACAAAAGGCAACCATCATAGATCACCTGAATAATCCAGGTTGCCCAATACATATATATATATTTCATCGACAGGTCATTTCTGTCCAGCTAATACATCCAATGTTATGTCATAACGTATTACTAATGGTTATAAGTTATAACAGAACTTTCATGGAAGACAACCAATGGGAGTTATCTACCCCTCTACCATATTTTGGCCCCATATGATCTATGATAACGTACCATTTTTGGGATCTGGCTTTGTCTTTATTTCGTCCCACATACATCTTTCAAAATGGAATGCTGGCATCTGCAACACACATTATTAAAACATTTAATAAAATATAACTGTTGAAATTAATCAGTAGAAATTTTCTCTCAAGAAATTTCATATGAAAGTGCTTAAAATGTTATCATTATAATTTTATTAACAACATAAATAATTGTATTTCAAATTCAGAAAAAGGAATAATACAAATATCTGGATGTTTTTGTCAAGGACCTTAATTAGAATACCTGTAGTTTAACTGTAAATATTCACACTGATCTCTAATTATAATCAAATAAAGAAACAATTCAATTCCAGCATTTTGAGATAATGTCAAGAAGTCAGATTGAAAGTTTCTATATCCTTCAATGTACCTTGTCAAATCCAAACGAGGTGGAGGCAGTGCCACCTCCGAACAGGTAGAGCCTTGTCCCGTCACTGGCTACCTCATGTCTGTACCTACAAAATCCACAGATTAACACAAATGTTAAAATATTTGATGGAGTAACTTAGAAATTACTAACAAATTAAAGACAGTGTAATATTGATGTCAAAAATACTGACGAACTGATTGAAATGATTTTTTACTGAAGGTGATCATTGGAAGCACACCTGGATATTGATGTCGGAGTTAGGTTCACAACTTTATTATTCTTAATAACACGCACTTTTAACACACAATATATCCTTTTGGGTTTGTTCGCTCTATGTATTGAATTGATCATTAAATCCAGGGTTCTACTGTACACAAAGGATCTGTGAGCTGTATAAGGAAGTATACTACGAACCTGCTCTCTGGGATGTACTTTTGGTTGTCGGCTTCAAGGTGTGTCCATGTGGCCGTCCGTAGGTCCAGCTGGTGGATGTCCATGTTGTAAACAAACCCTGACGTCCCCCCAACAATGTACAAGTAGTGACCTACTACATTCATGGACTGAAAGTAATCATAACACAAGTTAGCAACCGGACATAAATACATGTACACACAATAAGTACTAATTTGTTAATTAAACATACTGAACAGGGGCAAAGATAATGGAAATAGCAAACATGGGACAAAATATCACAACTTTTAAATACTATACTTATTAACTTAGAGGTCACATAAATAAATAAACTGGTAAAATTTCAACCGATCTGACCCAAACCACTCTATTTATATAGATCATGACATGTTATCCAGTCAGAAGATATGTATTTTAGGTGGTCACCTTTGGTTATTATATTAGTTAGAAGTATTGAATATTCATGAAGTCACAACAGAATTGGAGTTTACAGCTTATAATATGCATCAGATAATCAGAATCTGTGGTGGCCATCTTGAATTTGAGGAGAAGATTAAAAATGTTCGTTTTTAACAAATAACTTTTGCTGTATTTTACACTGATCTGTAAGCTGATATGACTGTTAATACATATTTGCTGTAAATTATCAATTTTTAATAGTATGCATGTGTACAGTCAATTATATGACCATTGAACTGATGTTATTTAAGAAAGTTTCAAACATAATAGGAATCACCATATTTTAGACTTCGGTGCTATAACTATACTTTGTAACCTCAAATTCAAATAAAATAATAGACATTTTTGAGTACAGGTACAATTACAATAGGATATCTATTTAGACCATGGTATCAATATTACTCACAAAAGTTAGTATATAGTGCAATTAATAATAGTTCTCAAGAACAACCTATATCTGATTAAAAGAGAAAAAAAATGGTAATATTTTTTATAAAACGACTGAACATTTCATGCATACCTCTTTGTTAGACAATTTAAAAATTGAAGGGCACTTTGGATTATTTCCATTTTAAATTATCTTAGGTTGTTGAACCCTGCAGGGCACAACCAACATTTTTTTTTTCTTTTTTCTTTAAACGTGATATAAATTTTGGTCAACAGGCCCGGACAAGGTAACAACCTTTTCAAGTCCATTTATATGGTGCTATTTTTATGACATTGATAGGTTGACACAGGGCAGTGTGATCCTAGCCTGAGGGTAAATCACAGGTGTAATCACATGTATCATTACAGGTGTACTAATCTCAGGTGCAAGACGATAACACCAGGTAACACACATGACCCCTCTGGGCACTTTCACACGACTTGTCCTGGGCCATACTAGGTTACTACGGCCATCATGCTTCACTAACTTTGATATAGTTCAATACAGTTTCTACCAAACCCAAATATATATATGTAAATAAACTTGAAAAATAGATCTTGTTCTTTCTTTGTTCACAATACTAAATATTTTATTTCAAGAATTAAATTTACAGTCAAACAATGGATTAATACTCTATCATTTGCTCAAAATCTATGGTGTTTGATTGAAATTGGCCAATATGTCAATTTCAATCATTTCAGCAGCCATTTTATGGCAGCTACAGTACGCTTCAGGTTCTTGTCCAAATGGAAAATGATGTTGCGGTAGTTTGCAGTGTCAAAATACACCTATGGATACATAATAAATTTATTAAAATCAGAAACACTGACTGGACAGAAAGGAAAATTTTCAATAGAATATCTTGTCCGTCCTTTTAATAGTGACCTTGACCTTAGGAAATTGTTAAATTTCTTATGTACAAGTACATAGTCTAAAAGAGGGTATCAACAGGTGAAATTTAAGAATATTTAGACTGCTGGATTATGAGATAATCTCAGGAAATAAAAGTGTGGACAGAGAGACATACAGAGAAGGAATATGAGTTACCAAAAACTTACAGATCGAGAGCCGTTTTAATACATGTTGTATTATTCAGGTTAACTAACTTGCTTTAAGGTTTAAAGACACAAGAACCACTCCAGCAATACTGGAGTACCAACTGTTTTACTTGGTACCTACACAGATGCGGAATATTGTGCTTTCGTTACTTTTTTATCACTTTTATCTGACAATAAGGCCATGCCTGGTAATATTCCAGTGGATATCTATTTCTAATGAGGTTTGGTAAAAATGCCATCAAATATTGATGTTTCATTGTCATATATTAAGCCCTCCACCCTACTTGAGTCAGATTATCTGTTATAAAAAATATAAACTTCATTTATTTTACAACAGTTATGAAACAAGTTATTTCAACTTAAATATTAATCATTGGTGTTGGTCTGGATTTGTAGTGTGTTGGGTGTCTTAATGTTGGAGGAAACCGGAATAACCAAAGAAAACCCACTGCACCACCCAACCACCCAGAATATCTGTTAGCCCATTGGGTTTGTTGCAGGAAGAGTATTTAATTAAGTCTTTTTCTGGTTTCCATATGAAAATATAATTCACTACTGACTACCAACCTCACATTAGATGTTAACTCTGTGATCTCAATTACAAGTTTATACTGATATTTGTACTATAGTGTTTGGTTTAACAAAGTCACAAACTCACATGGCCATATTTTTTCTGTGGGTGTTCCCCAGTACAGTTGAGCTGACGCCATTTGAGTGTGTCCAGGTTACAAATATGTAGTTGGTTACTGCTACACTCCCCAAAGGGTACACCTGTTCCACCAAAACACAGCAGGTTCCGACCACACCTCACAGCTAAAATCATACACAATACAAATATTGTACAGAAAATACGAAATTTTGCTGAAACCAAAGTATCAATTTCATTGTCCTACCTATTAAGCTATATATATAGCTACTGAACAGAAAAGTACATATTCTAATGATTTTGTTTTCTGATATGCAACATTATTTTTGTCAGTCTATTTTTTTTCTATATTTATTATTTTTGACATCTATAAGACAATGGAATCTAACATATGTTCTACTTTATTCGATGACACACATTTTGCCTACATCCTCATTGGTTGGACCATAATCAGGTGGAGGTTGGTAGTTTGTGATATTGATTCGGTGTTACTTTGTTTACAAACAGCAGGTCAATATTCTATTTACGAGGTCGTTTCAATTGTAACATAACAATGCTTTCTGTCAAATGCAGAACTTTCCCCTGAACAATTTCTATATGCTCCATATTGTTTGCGACTTAAACTTTACTTAGCATCTAACATAATTAAGAATTTTGAGGTTAATAAAACCACATATTCACCTCAATAGAATTCCATAACTGTTAAAAATAAGCAGGTTTCCATGTTAGATTTGATTATAAGCAGAACATAATACATCTGATATTATAATAAGTAAGATCCTCTTTATAAGAACATGTGTATAAGATTGTAAAATTGGTACCAAAGTCTGCATATTAAAATATTCATATTCACATCAAGTAATATTGAAATTTAAAATTAATTTTCAATATTGATCAACTTCTTTGGTTTAAGATTTTTTTTAAAAGAATCCAATTTCCCCCCAATAGATTCAATTTCTTTGGTTTAAGAAATTTTTAGATGCATAAAAGAATACAATTTCCCCCCAATATATTCAATACAATAACTTATTACAGGCCAACGTTACTCACCAGTGTGAGAAGCCAATTCAATAGGCATGTTTCCCTCTGTTTGTAGTAATGTCCATTTCTTCAGAGAAAAGTTGAATTGCCATAGCTAAACACAATAAAAAAGACTTGTTAATGAAAAACAATACAAACACAATTGATTTTCTCCAACAATATCAAATCAGTATCTACAAACATGTATAGAGAATTAGTATGTTAATATCTATTGATCAATATATGTGTAAACTTTTACTATTTTGTTGATAACTATATCCTCAAATAACAATGACAAATTACATTTCTTTGTAATAAATCAAAGTCACTGACCATTAATTGTTTTATCGTTTCCACCTTGTAACCTCGTTTTTCAGATCACATGTTTGAGGAAGATGACCCATATACTTTTCAATCATTGTGAATTTGTCCTTATGTTAATTCATTAAACTACCTGAGGTTAACCACTAACCTATAAAATGCTCTTGAAATAGCATATCATCATGTACATGCATGATGTAAATTACAATGCGACTACTGGTATAGCAAAGAATATAGACAGCAAGTTCCCTCTCGTCTAGATATGAAGCTAGGTGACATTCATGTACTAGGCACATTTGTGATTATACCTGGACTATTATTTCAGGTTCATAATAACCCCTGCGTGCGGAAAAG